TAAAATATTAATCTATATAATAAATATTTACACTCTTTATTATTTAAAGTTATTTTATATGAAGAAAATATTATACCCTGAGTATTGAGTATCATTAATATGGATTATATATGCGTAAATTTAATAATTAAATTTTATTTGTGTTAAATTGAAATAAGAAAAAATAAAATAAAAAAAAAGAAATTTTTAATTTATTATAATTTATTTATTGTTTATTTTTATATAAAAAAAAGACAACAAGTATAAAATGATTTTATAAATAATATAAAGATTTTAGTTGTATTTTATTTTATTATTATTAAATTATTATTTTTATTATTATTATTTTCTTTCATATGGAATAAATATAAAAATTATTTTTGAAATGGTGTAATTTTAAATATATTCCAATATGGACATATATTAAAATTTTTATTATTTGATAAAATATATTTTTTTTTTTATATATATAAAATATTATTATTATAATTATATTTATTAATAATATTATTATTAATTTTATTACAAATAAAAATTTGAATAATCTCTAATATATTGCGTGTGAATGTATTTTTTTAAATTATTTATTTTTTATTTTTTTAATTTTTATTATTATTATTATTTATTTTTAAAGTTACCATATTGTAAAAACAAATTATTAATATATATAATGTTTTAGCTGTTATCCAGTGGGTATTTTTTTTATTCGCGAAATTTTTTTTTTATATTGTAATTTGACAAAGATCTTATTTGTAAAGATATAGATAAAAATATTATAGGAGTGAGAGTGAATGAATAACAAAAATAACAATAAAAAAAAAAAATTTTAATAAATTAATATATAAAAAAAAAAAAAAAAAAATTTTAAATAATTTTAATGGGGGTGAATTGGCACTACCATTAAAAACATTACCTAAACAAGAAACTTTACAGCAAGAACGATAGTATTATATTAAATTATATTAAATGTTTTTTTGAGTTGTGTGTGAATAATTCTGTGCGTGTATGAAATTGGGTGGTGGGGGAGTGGGAATTTAATATGATATAATAAACAATGAAAATCAATATTATTATTAATTATTAAATATTTTATTAAAATATACCAAAACAATTCTATAAAAGAAATATAAAAAACAAAAGAATTTAAAAATAAATAATAATTTTTTGATTGATAAAAAAAAAAAAAAAAATGGTGGAACATTTTATTTGATTTTAAAAAAAAAAAAAAAAAAAAAAAAAAAGATATTTTTTAATTTTATTTTAAAATAAAAAAGTATAATACCAAAACATCCTTATTACTATTTTTTTTTTTTTTTATCAATATCTATTTCCTAATCAATAAAAAAAAAAAAACCACACATAATTTTAAAAAAAAAAAACAAAAAAAAAAAAAAAAATTTATATAAAACACTTACTTTAAAAAAAAAGATAATATTATATTAAATTATTTGTATTATTTGTTCGTGAATCAATGAGTTGTTAAAATAGTTTTTTTTTTTTTTTCTGGTGTGTTTTTATCACAAAATATTGCGAATTTAATAAATTAAAAATATTTTAAATAATAATTTTAAAATAATTAAATTATATTTTTTTTTTTATTAATTTTTTTTATTTTTAATTTTTTTAATTTAATTTTTAATTTTTTTTTTTTAAATATTTTTTTTTTTTGATAAATACACACTCGCGACCACACAAGCAATTTATTATTATCTTAAAAGAATATTCTTTTTATATTATAAGTAAAAATTATTTTAAAATAATTTTCATTTATTTTTATGCTTTTTTTCTGTTTAGTTTGTTCATTTTATTGCTATTTTATAAAAAAATGAAAATGTATTTTAATTTAATTTAATTTTTTTTTTGTAAATCATCTGTTACATTAAATTGTTTTATTTTATTAAATATATTTTTTTTTTTCGAAAATAGTTTGTGTGTTTTAATTTTTTTGTAACTAACATGCACAAAGGTTTATTAGATTCGATAATTTTGGATAGTTTATTGTTTTTTTTTAATTTTAGCTCTTTATTTAAATGTAACTTAAAAGTTTTTTAGATCAAAAAAAAAAAAAAAAATGGACAAAACATCAAACATAAAATAAATATATGGACTTTTCTATATTATGCAAAATTATAAAACTATACAATTTATTGTTTAAAATATTGATTTGTTTATTGATTTTTTTTTTTTAAAAGTTGCTGATATCCCTACCAAAAACAATGGTTCTTAACTATAAAAAAATAAAGAAAAATGAATATTAGTTTAAATATTAACATATTATATAATAAAGAGTTTTTAAATAAATACCCAATCCATTGGAACCATCATTTTAGCTCTCCAAGAACCCAATCTTGTTAAATAAGCAGATCTCCATGTTAAGAAAGCAATGAAACCAGAAAGATCAAACAATGGAGTTTGGAACAAACTATTTTTATTACCAATATAAGCCAATAAACCCATGAATTTAAATTTGAATTCTTGTGGTTGACGTGGATGTTCTCTTTCCTTATTGTTAAATTCCTTTGCAAGATATACACCTTCTTGACTTGCAACTTGAGCAGTTAATGGATAGTTCTCACCTTCGACGATTGAACAATCACCAAAACAATAAATATTATTAAAATTTTTAACTCTTAAATGCTTATCAACTAAAATTCTACCTGTGTGAGGATCCTTTTCAAATGGTGAATTTTTGATCAATGGGTTTGCGCCGATACCTGTTGACCATACCAATAGACCATATGGAATTTTAGTGCCATCTGCTAGTAAAACATATTCGTCAAATACTTCTTTGACTGGTGAGTGAGTTTTAACATCGATACCGCTCGATCTAAAGACCTTTAATGTTTTTTTAACTAGAGATTCATCGAATGCTGTTAAAATTTTTCCAGATGCTTCTAATAGAATAACCTTTACTTCATTTGGGTTAACTAGTGGGAAAAGTCTTTGAATATCTTCAACAAAAAAGTCATTTAACTCTGCAGTAAACTCTACACCGGTTGGACCACCACCTACAACCACAAATGTTAATAGTCTTTCTCTTTCTTTAACTGATACATCTGGTAATGATGCATTTTCAAAGCAATCAATAATCTTTTTACGAATAGTACGAGCATGTGCTAACTCCTTTAAATAATTTGCATACTTTTCAACGCCTGGTATACCAAAACTATTATTAATACCGCCTACGCCAATAACCAATTCGTCAAAATCCATAACAAAAGGAGTTTCATTGTGTAATTTCGATTTAACCAATAATTGTTTTTTATTTGGATCAATATTTGTTACTTCTGCATGAATATATTTGAAATCACTAATATCTCTTGTATTTCTTATTGGTTCTGCAATACTACGAAATTCCAATGTGCCAACTGCAGACTATAAAACTCGATGTTAATATTTTTTTTTTTTTTTTTTTATATATTAAAAATTACATACTGATGTTAAAAGTGGTGTAAATAAAAAGTGATTTCTTGGTGAAACTACAGTAACGTCATATTTAATAGTATTTACTAATATATATAAAAATAAAAATAAAAAATATATTAATATTAATCTTTTAAATTGTAATGTTTATTTTTAATGGATACAAACAATGCTTTAAATAACTGTAACTTGCCCAACCAGTACCAAGTAATACTAATTTTTCTTTTTTTTGAATTGATTTCTTTGCCTGTCTTCTTGCAATAGCTTTTTCTATTGATGATTTTGAAATAAAATCAACGACATTATTTCTAAAACGAGCAACTAAATGTGATACTTTAGGCATTTGCTTTTTTTATAAAAATATGTAAAATACCCTTTTACAATATGAACACCTAGTAATAAATAATTTTTCTTTTTTTTTTTGAAATTAAAAAATTAATTTGAAAAAAAAAAATTTTAAAAAAATAAATTAAATTAATTTAAATGAAAAAAAAAAAAAAAAAAAAAAAAAAGGAAATTTAATAAATATTTACTTATTATATAAATCGACTATTTAGTTAAATGGATTATTTAATAAACTATTTATTAAATATTCGTTATTTTATTATTTAATTTATAATTTTTTTATTTATATTTTTTTATTTGTTGTTTGATTATTTTTTAAACGAAAACAAAAAAAAAAAAAAAGTTGAAATCTTTTTATAATAAAAATAAATTAATTACCCATTCGTTTACATCATTTTTTAAATTGTGTCTCTATATTCCATCATCATTATGTAATTTAAAAATCAAAAAAAAAAATTAAAAAAAATCAAATTTAATTAAAAAAAAATAAATTATAAAAAATTAAATTAAAAAAAAAAAATTTTAATAGCGGCATATGACATAACACCCATTATGCTTAAAATAAACAATTCTTGGTTTATGCTATCCAAAAAAAAAAAAAAGAAAATAAAAATAATAAAGTATAAATAAAAATAAATGAATTAAATGGTTAGTACCCAAAAATTAATGATAATTGCGATGAAAAAGTTACGACTACTACCCCAAAAGTATTACCCCACTAATATTAAAGTTATTTGATTTATAAAAAAAAAAAAAAAGAGATAGATGGTTGACAGATATGAAAAAAAAAAAAATAGATAAATAAAAATGGGTTATTATTAATATGCATGATGATGGGTTATTTTTGTTATTATTTATATTTTTTTTTTTTTTGTGATTTTATTATTTATTACATGATTGTTATTTATTTTAAAAAAACTATTTAGTTATTTTGAGGTTGATTAAGTTTTTGAATATCCTCGCTGGAGCTAGATGGGGTTAATGAGCTAGTGGTTGAACTTGATGCGCTTTCTTTATCTTCATCAAATGTGGCTGGGCTAGATGAATCAGAAGAGGTGGTGTCAGAGACACTGGAAGAATAGTTTGAATCATTTACTTTATTTTCATTATTATTTTCGTTATTATTAGTGTTTGGTTCGATGGTATCATCCTTTAATTTTGGACCTTCATTTTCTTCTTTATTATTTTCGGTAGCAGTGGTTGATGCAACAGCAGTACTACTTTCTGATGATTGAACAAGATTAACTTGAACTGCTTCAACAATGGTTTCTTCATCATTGCCTTTAGTAGCAACTGGGGTTTCTTCAACAATAGTAACTGGAACCATTTCAACAGTTTTGGTATCTTCAGTAACTGGTTTTGATTCTTCGACGACTGGTTTTGATTCCTCAACAACTGGTTTTGATTCTTCAACAACTGGTTTTGGTGGCTCTTCAGTTACAACAGTAGTTGTTTCAGTTTGTTGGATAATGATTGGTTCAATAACAACTGGTTTTGATTCTTCGGTAGTGGTTGGTTTAGCTGGTTCTTCAACAGCGACAATTGGAACAACAAGTACTGGGGCATTGGAAGCGGTAGTGGTGGTTGTAGTAGTGTTTGATGATGATGGTTGTGATGGTTCTGGAATAGTATTAGTTGGTTTTGAAGTATCTTTAAAGCCACCTTCAGCATATTGATCACCATATAACTCTTTAATTTCATTTTCATATTTTGTAGTAATAATTCTTCTTTTTAATTTCTTTGTTGGAGTAAGTTCAGAGGTTTCGCCAGTCTCTTGGAATTCAACTGGTAAGATTTTGAATTTCTTAATAGTTGAAACATTTGGAAGTTTTGTGTTCATATCTTGAATGTGATTGTTGATATAGTTGTTAAATTCTTTATCGTTCATAGCCTCCTCCATGGTCTTTGGTAATGGATGGGTATAACCTTGGGATGGAAGTAATTTGAAGAGATCTGGATTGACAGTGATAAGAGCAACTAAATACTTTTGACGATCACCAATGACAACAGCTTGTTCTACACCAATAATTTGACGAATAAAACCTTCAATAAGAGTTGGTGAAATATTTTCACCACCAGCAGTAATGATTAATTCTTTCTTTCTATCAGTGATATAAATAAAGCCTTCTGAATCAATATGACCAACATCACCAGTGTGTACCCAACCGTCCTTATCAATGGTTTCTCTTGAAGCCTCTTCATTCTTGTAATAACCAACAAAACAATTTGGACCTCTAACAAGAATTTCTCCGTCTTCAGCAACTCTAACATCACTACCCTTCATTGTTTTACCAACACTACCAGTCTTATTTCTTGGATAACCAACACTTTGTGGACCTGATAACTCTGACATACCGTATGCTTCACATACTGAAATACCTAAACCCAAAAAGAAATCTAAAGTTTCTACTGAGATTGGTGCAGCTGCTGATGCTAAAAGTTTACATTGATCTAAACCTAAATTATAAATTGCTTTTTTGAATACTAATTTTTTAGCTATACCATAACCTCTTGGTTTCTTTTCACCTTTTTGAATATTATAACCACCCTCAACACCTTTCTTTTGTGCCCATGATACTAATTTCTTTTTAATACCAGTATTTTGACTTAACATTGATTGAATTTTAACTTGAATTTTTTCCCAAACTCTTGGTACACCAAAGAAAATAGTTGGTCTAACTTCTTGTAATGTATCTAATAATGTACCCTATAAAAATTATAATTATAAATATTAATATTTTATTTTAAATAATTATTAATTGTTAATATTATTATTACTTACACTAAGGGCAGTTTTTTGTGCAAATGCAACTGGGAAACCAAATACCATTGGTGCATATAATGATACAATTTGTTCAGCGATATGTGAAAGTGGGAGATAACTTATAATTCTTTCTGTTTGTGGAGCAGCAACATTTACAACATCGTAACCAATAGTATGAACAGTCCAAAGAATATTGCAATGTGTTAACATAACACCTTTTGGTAAAGATGTGGTACCAGATGTGTAAATAAGAGTGGCCAAATCACTTGGTTTGATATTTTTGGAGTGATTTTCAACTTCAGATTCTTCAATTGCTTTACCAAGATCCATAAATTGCTCCCATGTGTATACATAACCTGGATATTTAGTTGACATTGATAATGGTGTTTCGGCATCAGCGGTAGTAGTGGATTCTTTATCAGAGGTAGTGGTAGCGGCTGGCTCCATAATAACTAAAGCTTTAATATTTGGTATTTTATCTCTAATTGATAAATACTTTTCCAATTGTTTTATATCTTCAACAAAAACTAATTGAGCATCACTGTGAGTTGCAAAGTATTCACATTGACCTGGTGAAGAGGTGGTATAAACACCAGTTGGTAATGCATTAGAGTGAATTGCACCCAAATATGCAATATGCCATTCTGGAGAGTTGAAACCAATAACATTGATACCAGCTCTACTATGAACACCTAATGAAATAATTGATTTACTTGCTGCAATAACATCGTTTCTATATTGTTGCCATGTCCATTTCTTCCATGTACCATTTCTTTCGACTCTCATTGCTAATTGATTTGGTAATTTATTAGTTGTATATGAAAGTGCTTCCATAACAGTGCTTGGTAATGGAATATCTTTAACTATTGTTTTTTGTCTACCATTTGCTACTGGGGCTGGTGCTGCTGTGGTGGTTGGGGCTGGTGCTGTAGTGGTAGTGGTGGTTGGGGCTGATTGTGTATCGCTTGTGGTTGTAGTAGTTGTTGCTGGTGTTGATTCTGGTGCAGCTGTAGTAGTTGTAGTGGTGGTTGTTTCTTCTACTTTTGTTGAATTTGGTTGTTGTTGTGTATCTGTTGTGGTTGTTGTTGTTGTTGTTGTTTCAGTTGTCTTCACCTCAACAACTGAATCTTTATTTTCTGTTGCAGTTTCCATGTTACTGAGATATTATGTTATTTTTTATTTATATACAAAAAGTTGTGAATGTACTTAATAATACAATGTGTGTAAATTTAATAATATAATAAATAAAAAAATTAAAAATAAATAGATAAGATATAAACTTTTTTTAAAAAATATATATTTATATTTGTGTGTGGTGTATATGAGAATAAGAAAAAAATAAAAATTTTGAAATTTTTGGGTGCGAAAATCAAAAAAAAAAAAAAAAAAATGTTTTAATTAATTTTAATTATTTCAAATAATTAATATAAAAATTTGGGGGGGAAAAAATTAAAAGCAAATAATAATAAATAAATTAAAAATGTGTTTATAATGGTGGTGGAGTGTATATATATAAATAAATTAAAATAAATATTGTTTTCTATTTTTTAAATTAAAAAAAAAAAAAAAAAAAAAAAAAAAAAAAAAAAAAAATAATTCATTGTTAACGAATTTTTTAAAAAGTTTCTGAATTATGATAATTATTATTTTAAATTTTTTTTTTAAAATTTTTTTTTTAATTTTTTTTGAAAAATGGACAATCCATTTCATATTGGTTTTTTATTGTATGAAATCATTAGTATTGCTATATGATTAACTGTCAAAAAAAATTAATTTGGCAAAAAACTAAACTTTTTTTTTAAAATTATTGCGAATATTTTATTTTAAATATTTAAAATAACAATTTGCATCATGTTATCGGGAAATTTTCGAAATCCAAATGAACCACCAGTATAATTTAAATAATTATTATAATAATTTTTTTAAATAAGCAATTTCTTTTTTTATATTTCTTTTTTAAATGATTGCTTTATTTTTAGTTTTTAGTTTTTTTTTTAAAAAATAAAAGACAATTTTATCATTTTAAAATTTTTAGATATAACCCCAGGTTTAAATTTAAATTTTTTTTTTTTTCATTTATAAAATTTATTAACTTCAATTTTGATTTATTATTGATATCTCATTTCAACATTTTAAAGAGTAAATAAATAAATTCAATTAAATGTTTACATAATCATGATGATGGGCAATGAAAATAAAAATAAAAAAAACAAAAAAAAAAAAAATTAAAAAATTAAAAAATTAAAAATTTTTTAAAATTAAAAAAATCATTTTTCTTTTTTTCATATTATCAAAATAAAATAAAATGGATAATAATAGTGATAATAATAATAATAGCAGTAATAACAACAATAATAATAATAATAATAAAAATGAAGGATCAAAATTTCCAAAACATATATTTTTACCAACATTTTTAAATAAAGATATGCCAATTGGAACCTTTTTTGTAACTGCTGGTGTATTATCAATGGTTGGATTTGCAACAGGTTTATTAATTGGTTTTAGAAAGACAGGTGGAATCAAACAAACTCTTAGATCAGCACCACCAGGTGTAGTTATGGCAGCAAGTAAAGCTTTACTCGGTGGTACAGCAATTTGTGCAGGTTTTACAACTGGTTTAGTTTTCTTTTTAAAACATCAATATAACATTAAAACAGTAAAAGACTTTGGTGACATGATGAGAGGAAAACCATCAACACCAGAATTAACCTTAATTGACGAAAAAACCTATTTACAACAACAACAACAACAACAAGAATCAAATAATAATACAGATTTGGGCGAAGTCGATAAAGAAACTTTAGAAGCATTAAGAGCATTAAAATATATACCATTCGATTTCACCAATCAAGACGACAAAAACAATAATACTAACGATATTACTCAAAACCATGATATTGTAGATATAGGTATTAACGATAACAACTCTGACAAAAAATAAAAATTAAATAAAATAAAATTATTCTTTATGTATATTTTTTAAAATAAATATTTATTGTGTATCTTTTCTGGTTTTATTATTAATATTGTATGCGCATATTTTATATTGTTTATGGGTTGTAATTATTATTTTTGCTTTAAACTTTAGATTTTTTAAATATCTTGTATATAATAATTTTTAAAGGTAAGCAATGTTGTGAACGGTAAATTATACTTCCAATGATAATTAATACTACAATCAAGAAAACAGCACCACCTACAGCAATACCGACAATTTGAGTTTTGGTTAAACCAGACTTTTTACAAATTGAGTTTGGTGAGTTGGAGTTTGCAGATGAATGATCTAATATTACAGAAAAGTCAGGATCGATAGTTACAGACTTTTCAAAGTAGCCAATATTAATACCAATATAAAGATTTAATTGATTTTGCGAATTTGAAAAAGTTCTTGTAGAGATGTTGAGATCTTTTTGGTCAATGAATTCATTTGTTATACCTCTAATTGTATCATCCAACAAACATCTTTTAATTAAACGACCATATAATGAATGATTGTCGATTTGGATTTTAATAAAGTTTGAATTATCACCTGACGATGTATCACCAAACTGTTGTGAAGAGCATATATTATCAGTGCTTGATGACTGAAGACCTGCAGACATAACTAATTGTAAACTATTTAATTGCTTCTTGAATGGGTATTGACTGATCTCAACTGTATATTTTATGGAGGATGGATACATTTCTAAATCTTGGTTTGCAAATGAAATGGTTGTTTTTTCGGTAAACCATCTTAATATTGCATTGATATGAACAGTTTGATCTGATACTGTAATGTTTGTATAGTATTGATAGGTTGTATCGTTTATAGATGTAAATATCCACTTGTCAAATACTCTTTGTTCGACCACTTTGCCAAAAATATCCAACTCTCTTAATGATACCATAGAAATAAATGATTTATAAAGGATTTCATTTTTAATAGAGTCACTTGGTACTTCAATTTCGGTAGATGGATTGGTTGAATTTTGTTTTGGTGGTGATACTTCGATTACAAGACTAGAGCAGTCTGCACCAATCCATGGATGGATACATACACAACCAGTTTTTTGGCATGTACCTTGCAAAGGTGCATTACAGTTATTTATGCATTTTTGTGGTGGATTAGTGGGTGGCTCTGTGACAGGTGGTGGTACCCAGTTTGAAATAACTTTGGAGACTGGGGTTACTTTAAAACTATTAGTAGCAAATTCATTTTTGGAAATAACAAGGAATGGTTTGCTCTTTGGAGAAATATTTTTTATTAATACTGCAGTGTTATATTCTTTTGAGATGGTGGGATTTTCAGTGGTTCCTTCTTCACTAAGAATTGAGATTTGAGTTGATAATAGGTTTATGCCATAAATCCATAATTCGCTGCCTTCAGTTGTAATACTGCTTGATCCAGTTATTATTGGGCCACCATTGGTTGATCTTTCTGTTTTAATTTGGTTAATGAATCCCTGATCTCCCAACGATGCTGTGGATGATCCTCCAAATAAACCACCTCTATTTACAATACCATATACTTGCAATAAAATTGGATCTGGATATCCAAAACCCACAGGCAATTCTATACTACAACTATAATTACCTTCTCTGATGGAGACCGGTTCGACAAATGTAAATTTACATTCTATGGTTCTAAGATTAGTTGTGGATAGGTATACTATTGGAAGTTGAGAGTGTATCAAACCTTGAGAATCTTCGGTTAACAAAATAAAATCAACTTGTCTTGAATTGCTAAATACATCGATTTTAGAGCTTGAAACTGAAAAGCTTCTAATGAAGGGCTCAGAGGAATAAACAGCGTCACAATAAAGAGGGTCAGCAGTGAGTATATTGATTTTAGAATCATGCATATAGTTTACAAATGGATTGTTTAGAGAGGTGGAGATCGATTGAGAATATGAATTGTAAATGGAAAATGTTGAATTATAGCCTTGTTCATCAAATAAAACCACATCGGTAATAATATAGTCTTGAGCAAAGCATGGTTTTATAAGTGGAATCGAAATAGTATATTGAGCCGAATATTTACTACCACCTTTCATATTGTCGGTAGTCAATGTAAAGTTATTGGTATTTCCATCTGTTTTACCCCTAACAACAATATAACCATTTTTAAAACCATTATAGTCATCTTTTATTTCAAAATTCCAATTTAATGAGGTTTCAAAGGTTTCTTTGGTAATAATGGAAAAGATTGGACCATATTGATCAATATCTAAGTTTTTTTTTAAAAAAAATGTTAAATTAGTATTAATCGTATATTTAACCATTACTCGAAGTATGGGAATAAATTTGCTTACTTTTAGAAATTATATTGATTTGGGCTTTTTTTGGTAATATACTGCTCATTATATATTTTTCTGAAGAGAACATGATGGAGTATGGAATGGTACCTGGTTTGATATTAGCTTTGATAGAGAACTCAATTTGGAATCTATTGATGGTTGTGTTGTATATAGCGTACCACAAGTTTTCAGTCTTAAAATGATTTTTATTGGAGATATAGTTATTGGTTGGATCGTATAGGTATAGTGCTATTGGTGTATTTGGGTCGATATCAAAGTTTAAATAAAGTATGTTACTTGATGGTTTGTTAGTAACATCTACTTCATTGTACAATGCTGTAACATCTGAAAGTTTAAAATAATCGAAAGCTAGATAAAAAATTTTTTTAAATTGTATATTAATATATATTTATAAAATAATTGAAATGATTTATTCAAAAGTGGTTCTTACTAATTTCAGGTGATTTAAATCTTTGAGTTGATAGAATATTATAGAATTGGTTATTTATAAGGCCCCCATCGAGATTATTAAATCTAATAAACTTTATTGGGTTAAAGTTGTCAACCAATAGTTCATAATATCCATTAAAAGTATCACCTTTAACTAAAGTTTCTAAACCAAATGTTTGATAATCATTTATTTTAATCTGGTACACTGGCGTAAGTTGGGAACTAAGTGATAGTTTTAAAATATATTTAAAGGCATCTAATTTAATAAATTCAAAAGAATTGACCAATGGATTTTCGTGGGCTATTTTAATATTTAATAGGTTAAATAAATTAGAGTTTATGGGGTAGAATTTTAAATAGTTTTAATTATACTTTAAACTTACTACTACTTTGGGTTGGCACTTTATACGAAAAACCTTTCTGGCCTCTTACCGAATACATTGCTACTTCAGTTACGATTGGATCATTTTGTAAAGGAAGAAATGAAAAATCGTATTCGTAGTTATTCACATTTCCTTTAGAAAATCCAAATGGGAAGGTGGAAATAAATGTGTCATGGTAAGTGATGTAAAATGGTTGGAATGAATAGCCTAAGGTTGAAGAAAATTGAATGCCTTCGAATTCTAAATAGTTTCTTCTTGATCCATCTGTTGGAATATTGGGGAAAATAATATCTTTTTTTTTTTTTTTTTTTTTTAAAAAATTGTTAATATTTAAATATTGTGTTTTAAAATTTAAATAAATAATTTATATAATGCCATACCATGAATAGTGAATCCATTACTTAAGGTAATACTTGGGAAGTTAGAACCACTTTGGTAGATTAGCTCGTAGCTTACGGAATTACCAGCATTATTATTTGATATGTAGTCAAAATTACCAATATACAAATATTTATCTTCCATACTTTTAATTAATCTATAGGTAAAGTGTTTATTAAATAAATTGGAGCTTTTTTGTGCATAAAATGGGAGGTAGATATCACTTGAATTTGAAACAAATACCATTAATGGTGAGCAAAGATCACCCATTAAGCTTGCTTCTTTAAAGGAAGATAAGTTTGGAAAGGTGTTATAGTCATCAATATGATCGAAATCTAATTTAAATGGTTATCAAAGTTAATAAACTACTTTTCTTTAAAAATCACTATTATTTTTTATACATACATTGTTTTTTGTAATAATTCTTAAGTGAAATTGATTTATTTGATTGATTGGTATCCACGAAATATAAATCTATATCAGAATCAGGAATATCGGTTTTTATTTGAACTAAAATATATCCAAATGGTGTATTTTCTGCTAATATGGTACATTTGGAACAAGCAAGAAAAGAATAAGGAGTTTTATTTTCGAATGCATCCACTTTTAATAACGAGGTTATTCTACCAAATGAATCAATTGAAAATTCTGAAATTTTTTTAAATGAAACGGAACTTGATGATATATCTATTGGTAAAATTTTAATTAGTATTCCAATAATTATATTATAGTGGTATAAGGGATGATTATTCTTACATTTGCAATTATATTTTAGAGTTAATGATGCTGTATCTGGGTAGTTCACATTTTTACCATATATTGGTAGCTCATATTCGCTGCTTGATGATACAGCAAGAGTAGAGAATGAGAATATTGATGATGTTTCATTGTAGAATAGTCTTTGATATGGTATATCTGTACCATCCCTATAATACAATTTAATATCAGTAAATGAGCCACCTCTTGAGTCAAAAGCATAAACCAAGAAATCAAAACCACAATCTGAAGAGGAATACTTTAAGAGGTCATTTTTATCGGTTAAGTCTTTGAGTATGAATTCTGTGTTAATCGTATTAAAAAGATTAGTTAAAATGAATATAATAAAAAACAATTGTATTTGAGATTGTAATCTCATTTTTATATATATATATATATATAATAATTATAAATTTATTATTTATAATTATTTATTATTTATAATTATTTATTATTTATTATTTTTTATTATTTTTATTTTTTAATATTTTTTTGTTTTTATTTTTTTTCGTTTTGCAATATTACCATTAAACAACCAAAAAAATTTCCAAATCTTTTTTATTTTTTTTTAATTTTTTTTAAAAATATTTTGGTTGGTTTTTTAAAAATATGCTTTGCTGGATATTTTTAATTTTTTTATGCCGTCATTATATTTTAAACAGTCCATAAAAAATATATAATTAATATTGAAGCTATAATATTAAATTTATTAATATATCTATGTTATAAACTAATTTATTTTCAATTTTTATAGATATCTTTATTACTATAGTTATAGTATATAAAAAATATACACTGCTTTCCCAAATTTTTATACAATTATTTTATTTGTTTTTACTTGGATTTGTTTTTTTTTTTAAAATTTTTTTTCAAATAAAAAAAAAAAATAATTTGTAATTTTTTTATTTATTTTATTTATTTTAAATTAAATTTAATATAAAAATTACAATTTCATTTTTTTTTTTTTTTTTCAATTAATAACACACACACATATAGTTATAAAATTAATATAATAAAAGAAATAAAAATATGCAAATGATTGATGCTGAAATAATTAAAAAGTGCGAATATATGGACAATGAAGCATCGTTATGCTTTTTATTAATCAAAGGTATGTTATGACAAGAGTCAATATATTATTATATCATAGCCTTTTACTAATATCATATTCTTTTCCTCCAAGATGATAATATTGTTTACAAATCCAAATCATTTTTATTATTAGATAGTGATATATTACAATTTAAAGAGCTTTTTACAGCTTTTAATCAGGGACAGTTATTATCTATTAATAATGCACCATTTAGCGTAGATGAAAAGGATAATGTAGAGAATAATTATTTTACAGGCAAGGATAACAATGGTAATATAATCCATATCAAAGAGACACTAGGTTTCATCTTTGTGGTAATTGTTTCTCCAGACTCTTCATTAAAAAGAAAGGAAATCTTGGAATTAGCTCACAATCTTGTAAGTAGTCTTTTTTAATATTCAACATTTTAAAGAATACAGTAAACAAATTCATTTACTAACTAATATTTAATATGTATACAGATTGAAGTAAAATAAAGATAGAGAATAATATATAAATAAAAAAAAAATAAAAAATTAAATAAATAATATATATTTTGTTGTTTTTATTTAAATTAAAATGATTATTTTAATATTTTTGTTATTTGTTTCTTTTTTAAACTTTAGATTTTTTAAATATCTTATATATAATAATTTTTACAGGTAAGCAATATTGTGAACGGTAAATTATACTTCCAACTATAATTAATACTACAATCAAGAAAACAGCACCACCTACAGCAATACCGGCAATTTGACTTTTGGTTAAACCAGACTTTTTACAAATTGAGTTTGGTGAGTTGGAATTTGCAGATGAATGATCGATGATAACTGAAAAATCAGGATCTATTAATGCAAATTCTGTAAAATAAGCTAAATTAATACCTATTAATGATTGGGATTGATACTGTGTGTTGCTTGTGGGTAGACCATTATATCTATCATCGTGAAGTTGGAATTCATTAGATAGTGATCTTATTTTGTAATCTAATATACCTCTTTTAATAAGACGACCATATAATGAATGATTATCGATCTGAATTTTGATATAGTCCGAATTATCGCCTGATGATGTTTCACCAAACTGTTGTGAGGAGCACATATTGCTTTGGGAGTCGGTTTCTATGGATGCTGACATCACTATTTGTAAACTGTTTAGTTGGCTCTTGAATGGGTATTGACCAATGTGAATTGTATACTTCATAGTGGATGGATTCATAAATATTTCTTGGTTTGCAAAGGTAACATTGGTCTTGTTGGTGAACCATTCAAGTGTGATAGTGACAGAAAAGGTTACATTTGATGATGTTGTAATATTATTTGTATATTTATTAACACTTTCGCTTACATTGGTATGGGTCCATTTTTCGAAATAGTACTGCTCCACTATGCTGTTACTAACATTTAATTCTCTTATTGATACTATTGATACGAGTGATTTAAAGAATTGGTTATTGTTAACAATGATTTCAGTTGATGGGTTTGTGGTATTAACTTTTGGGGGTGGAACCACTATAATTTGACTTGAACAATCTTCACCAATCCATGGCGAGTAGCATACACATCCTTTGTCGCTACAATAGCCCTTGGTACTACCACTGCAATCGTTTGTACATTTTTGAGGTGCATTGGTTGGTAAAGGCTCACCAAAATTAAATAAATGTGTTGGAACTGCTTTGTATTCATTTGATACACCGTAGCTATTTATTATTGTAATATAGATTGGCTTATCTGTGCTCTTAATTCCAATAGAGGCAGTGCAGTTATAACTTGATAGTATATCTGCTGTATATGTTTTATTGTCTTGGCTTTCATATTTTACTGAGGCAGAGATGATGTTTGTCAATTGGAATCCATTGATCCATAAGGTGGTGTCCATATTGGAGAATAAATTTGTTGATGTTATTGCTGGTAATAAAGAAATACCGGGTTCATAGTATGGGAAAGCGCCTGTGAGTTTTTCTAAACAATCTTCAGAGCAACCAACGCTTAAACCTGCGTTATTTAGTGCACCATAAACACTTACTGTAAATGGGCCAAAGTCTCTTGGAATTTCCAATGTGCATGAATAAGGAACTACACCAAAATTAGAGGTAAGGTTACGGGAAATGCATGATTCTATCCTTTGGTTTAGATTTTTTAAATAAACCACTGGGAGTTGGTATTGATTAATTCCGCTTTCTCCATCTGTATATTGAAATTGAAATGTAATGGTATTTTCTTTCAGTCTAGCATCGAAATATCCCAGTAAAGGTGGCGTTGTATCATCTGTGTCAAAGTTTTTAGAACAAATACTAGTTGCTACTACTTCTTGAGCCATATATTTCGCTAAAGGATTGCTTAGTGGGTCTATATCTCCATTCTTATTATAGTATGATGTATAGCCTTGATTATCTTTTAAAAATACTTTTTTAATATAAAATTTTTGGGTTGAGCAATTGATGAATGATGGTATTTTTATTAAATATGTTCCAATGAATTGGTCTCCTTTCTTTCGATTTGAAGAGTTTAATGTATAGTTATATACTGAATAGTCCACTTCACCTACTATTAAAACATAACCTTCATCAAAGCCATTAACCAAATCTTCGATTTCTAAAGTCCATGAACCAGTTTCATTTGAAACACTTGAAAAAATAGGGCCTCTGTTATCAAATACTATTTAAAATATAAAAGTTAGTAAAAATAAATATATTTCTTTTTAAATATTTAATAAATACATTTTGAGGTAACATTAAGTTGGAAGTCGCTTTGGAACAGCGAGTTTGAAACAGAGTAAGAGTTTAAATAGTCATAGTAAATTATATATGGTAAATACCCAGTTTGAATACTATTGGCTTTAATTATAAAATTAATTTCAAACAGACCTAAATCGTTATTCCATCTTGCAAAGAAATGGTTCTTTGGGTTTTTATAATCTTTTTTTGGATCGTCATTGATTATCAATGAGAATACTGTATCTTTGTCAACTGTTTCTGAAAAACCTATAAACATTTTATTTGAAACAGATTTGTTTGTTATATTTACTGTTTTATCTGAAAATGTTATTAAATTGATCGAAAAGATATTTTTAACTATAGATATTAATGTATTAGTATTTTCGGAATTATAGTTTTAAAACTAATTTAAACCACTTACTTGTTTTCATAGGCGATGTCAATAATGTGGGAGAGTAGACCGAAAAAAATGTATTATATTCTGCAATATTATCGAAATCAAAGTTGGAAGAAATAATTAATTTGTTTGTTGTTGACTTGGATAAATCTTTAACAAATTCAAAAACTCCTGACTCTACTGAAACAAGTTTATCTGATCTAAAAATTTCACCAAATAGATTGATCGATACAGATGAGTTGGTCAATGTTGTTTTATAAAGAAAAGTTGAATCATAAAGATGTGTACTTTCCAAAATATTAATTTGGGGTGCAAATATTCCGACTACAATTTGGACCTATTAGTATGGAGTTTTTTTCAAAAATAAAGAAAAAAATGTATAGTTACCAGGTTGTAATGCTAATGATGTTTGTAGTATAGTATCTTTATCATTCTGAAGACTAACTAAAATTTTTCCTATTCTAGATGATCCCCATACCAAGTGGGTCGAAGCATATGTGCATACAGACTTTATGCATGACTCCATACCATATGGGAACTGGGTTGCAATTGAATAATCCTTGAATTTTGTAAATAGATCATAAAATTCATATCCACTTTGAATTTCATTTTTGACTTTAATTGGAACATATTGATATGGAATAGGATAAGAACTAATCATCAAATCAAGCATACAATTTGATAAATGAGTGATTCCATATGCTATTTTAAATTTATAATAAAAATTAGAATTGGTATATTTATAAATTATTAATTGAATATATGATAATAATTACCATTAAAAGTAAGTGTTCTTGAATTTAGGTTATCTAAAAAAGTATTGTTTTGAGAATAAAAATTGAATGTCATAGTATTTGGGACTATGGAAGTTGGTTTGATTTTACCAACATATATTGTTTTGCCGGTGGAAGTATAATAAGCTGCATTTGGAGTTTCAAAATTGTAATCGTTGGTATGGCTTATGTATAAGTTTTCGGAAGGGTTACTATCTAATGTAAAAGTATACAGTGGTAAAGCACCACCATTTATATTAAATGTTAAGAGGTCTGGTATAAAATTAAACCCTTTGAAATCGATACCTTTTTTACCTAGTTTTTATTTTTTTAAAAAAGTATTAATATTAAATTGTTTGAAATTAAAAAATATTATTTTTATTTAGTGTATACATACTTTGGAAAATTGAGCTTATATCAAAGCTAAATTCTTTATCATTTATAATAAAAGTCCTTTTATAAGTTCCAACCAATTGTTTTGGATTAGAATTTATTAACAACGCCAACTCTGTGTCTGTTAATCTAATGGAAAAACAGTTATCGCACAAATCTGAGTCAGTGCAGCTTGAATCTAAAGAACATAACGATTTAAGTTTATTTGTTAAACCATCAATTTTTATATACCCCAAAAGATTTAAGTTGGATTTATAAAAATCTATTAATGGTCCTTTATAGAATCTATTATTAATAATTGTAAATTTTAAATTATCTGTATTAATTTTTTGACATGAAAATTTAATATTCATTGTTTTAGAAAATCCACTGGAAACTAATGTTGCAGTAGAATTAAAATTAAATTCTCCATAGGTTTTGTTTAATGTTAGTTCATAAATTGAAGATGATGCACCCCCTATTTGAAAGAAAAATAAATAATTTTTAAAAAAAACATTAAGTAATATAAATTAAAATAAAATAAATAAATTAATAATTACCCGAGATTAATTTGAGATTGGCACTTGAAAAAAATGTATCAAAGGCTCCAGAACCATTAAAATAAATATATAAAGTAATAGCACATGTTTGAGAGGATGAGTATGTTGGATAAAATGTGTGGTTTTCTGTTAAGTCGCGTATTTCTAGGCTGTCTTGACATAGAATATTTTTAAAAAAAAATAAAAATAAAAAAATAAAAATTTTATTTGTGGGCATTCTTTTACTATTATTTATTTATGCACATATATAAAGAATTAGTTTAAAATAAAAAAAAATAAAAAAAAAAAATATTGATTTTTTTTTTTTTTAGATATTTTAGTTAATCATTTAATAAAATTTTTTTTTTTTTTTATATTTTAAATATCCCCCAATACAACGTTCTGAAAGTTAAACCCAACTTCAATGGAAAAATAATTTTACAATAAAATTTTTTTTTAATTTTATTTAAAAAAGATTAGTTTATTTACATATATTTATGGTTTGGGCTCATGGATGTTACTAGATATTTTTTTTTGTATATGATTTGATATTTTTTTTTTTTTCTTCTAATTTTTACTTATTTTATTATTTCTTTTTATCATCATTTTCATCGATTCCAAGTTTTTTATTCATTTGTGCGATAGTTAAACCTTCTAGCTCTGCCAATTTGCCTATGATTGCTTGACATGAATCTTTAATTTCATTGTATTGGTGAACCTTATCTAAATTTCTTTTTGCATCATCATCGAGTTGTTTCATTTGTGCTCTGTATGGTTCTAATTGATCATTTAGTGCTCTCTCTTGTTCTTGTAATTCTTCAATTTCTTTGGTTAATTTTTCAATATTACTATCTTTCCAATGAATTTCAATTTCCCCATTTTCTTCTAATTTTATTATTTTATTTATATTGTGGTAATCCTTTTTGCTTGATGAAATAATGTTAATATTTTCATTATACATATCTATATTGATATTTGTGTTTGAAAAATTTTAAAAAAATGAAAAAAATATTAAAAATTTAAAATTTTTTTTTTTTTTTTTTTTAATTATTGGAATTATTGGAATTCTTTTTAAAATTTAAATTTAAAATCGATTTTAAAATTAATTTATCCATTTAAATTTCAAATTTTATAAAGATTTTCAGTGGAAAAAGTTTTTCAATTATACAAAGCTAAGATTTAAAAAAAAAATAATTATATTTTATTTATTTTTTATTTTTTGATACTACTGCTACTTTGGTTTTAGTGGCGGTTGTAGTTTTAACTGGTTGTTGTTTTTGTTGTGGTTGTGGTTGTGGTTGTTTAGTTTGTGATTGTATTTTTAATTTTGATAATTTTTCTTTCAAGTTCTTTAAATCTTCAGCTTTTTTATATAATTTAATTTGTTGGTTATATTCTAAATAATTTTTAGTGAAATATTCGAAATTTGGAATACCATCTTGGTTAACATCTGTATTTAAAACTTTTTGAATTGATTTATCGCTAGATTGTTGTTGACATTGTTTGAGGAAACTTGATTTATTATATTGTTTTTGTGGTGTAATAAATACATAGATTTCACGATTTTTGTATGATTTCTTTAATTTCTTTGCTTTAGTTTCTAAATAATGTTCTTTTGGTGGTTCGATTTGAGGATTAAAGCCACCTTTGCTATTATCAAAAGCAAGATATAATTCGATTGGTGATTTTTCACGAGAGATTGATTGTTTTGCCATTTGTTCTTCGCTGTATGATAAAATACGTTTTACGATTGGCTCGATCTTTGGATGCCAATGACGGGTGAATAAAGTTAATTCCCAAAGAGTTGTAGCGAATGGGTTGCAATGGTCTGGATCTGGTGCTTCATAAACGTAATCACCACCACTAAAAGTTTGATCCATCTCTAAGAGACGTTGGGTTTGTGGATAAATGACAAATAATTGTTTAATGAATGAAACGATTGCCAATGAGGCATGTGGTGGTAATGCAAGCGAAACGGTGGCCAATCTTTTAATGTAAGCGGCAACACGACCAACTGCAGTTTGTTTCTTATCACCCAACATTAAATAGAATGCCTCTAATGCAATTGGAATATTTGATTGTTGATCTGGAAGAATCATTTCGGTTAACAAACCATATACTTTGACATAGTAGTCCTTTAAATCTACATTAAGGGAGTTACCATGTAATTTGATTGTTTTAAAAGCAGTTATATTTGTATTTAAAGCGTTGGCAATTGATGTGATACCATTCTCAATGAGCTCTCCCAATACTCTCAAGAGATCACCCAAGAAATCAACGGAAATTAAATGTGAGAATTTAGCAAGACCTTCCAATACACTATTGAGGGCTGGTGATTGTGGAGCCTTTTTAATAATTCTAAAGTAGAGAACAAAAATTGATTTTAAAATTTCAGTTTGGAGGAATTTAACTTCTTTGATGGTATATTCGGCTTCGGCTTCCTTCATTTCTTTTTCGATTTTCTTTTCTTCCTTTCTCTTTTTCTTTTCGGTACGAGTAATGTGTTTACCCATTTTTTTATCTTGAATGGTCTTTTGATCGGTAGCTAAACCGAATGGATTGACTTTATCGACTACATCACTTAAACGAATAGCTAAGAAAACTCTAATTACTTTTGGATCGATCATGTATTGTGCTGATTTGGCTACATTTGCTAAACAACGTACTACCTCTAACGATGTTTCACCACCAGTTGAATCCCTTTCAAATAATGTTTTAATTGCTTCTAAACACATCATAGAGATTTCTTTTTCTCTGAATACTGTGAAACGACATGTGATAGTAACTAAATTGGTACGGAAATTGAAATGTGGATGAGCACAAAGTAATGTTGATACTGCTTTAAGGATACATTGTAATAATGATGTGAGATCGTTGTTGCTATAACCACCATTAATTTTGAAAAAACCGATACCATTGCCTTGTGGTTTCTTTCTTTGTAATAAAGCTACAATATTGTTGATTGAGTTTTCGATTAAAACTAAATAATTTTGATAAAACTTTAATAATCTCTTTTCATATTCCTTAATCTTTTTAACATCTTTACTAAGCTTTTGTTTATCCTTCTTATCGCCTGCACCTGATGGATCTTTGAGTTCATCAACTAAATCTTTACTGATTTTATAACCTGGAATAATATCTTTAAATACAGCACATAAAGATAAAATACTATATTTCTTAATAACAATATTTTTATTATTTATACAAATTGAAAATAAATCTTTAATTGAATTAATCTTTAAAAAAATTTAAAAAAAAAAAAAAATGAATATTAATATTTATAGATATTATTATGTTATTTTATAATTATATTATATTTACATTAATTTCTGGATTTGAAATAATGGTTTGTGATGATCTTGCTAAATTATTTTTTGCACTTTGAATTAATTGTTGTTCTTTTAAATATCTATCGGCTTCGCTTAATTCGCCTAATCTTGCTTCATCAAATGGTGAGACTTCAGCTGTTTCATAATCATCCATATCCTCGCCTTGTAACTCCTCAACATTTAATTCTGTGTCACTTTCATCTGATTCTTCTTCTTCTTCTTTAGATTTTTTTTGTGGTGGTTTTGGTTGTTCTTTAACTTCTGGTTGTGGAGTTGGTTTCTTTTTCTTATTATTTTTATCTTTTATTTTTCTTTCTTTTAAAACCTGTTCCTTTATATTTTCCATAATCTTTTCTTGCTTCTCTTGACTTTCTTTATAATCTTTTGCAGATATGACTTGAGTAATTGGTTTAATTCTACCATCATGTGTTTTAATTGGTAATTTCTTCTTTACGACTGCTTCTTGTTTCCATTCTCTTTTAACATCATTCATAACTTGCTCTTCAATTATATCATCATCATCACTAAAATCATCATCTTCATCTTCATTAAAAACTTCATCATTTTCATTTAATTCCTCTTCTTCATCGTCACTAGATTCTTTAAATTTTCTTTTAAATGAATTTTTATCGATACCATCTCTTTCCATTTGTTTTGATAATGATAATTTCTCTAATTTACTATAATAAAATTTAAGATGTTAATATTTATTTTACAATTACTATAGTGAAATTGATTTCTAAAATTGATTCTTAAAACTTACGCATTTTCTAAATTTGTGTTAACAAAAGATGAATTGACAAAGAAATCTTCATCATCAGTTTCAACTTCATCATCACCTGCAACAACATGACCTTGGCTACCTTTTTCACCCATGGAAAAAAGTTTTTCGAACTTTGCTAATTCTTGAAATGAAAGATTTTCATCTTTTGGTAAAGTTTGTGGTTTGAAAACTCTTTTTTTTGACATTATATTAAATAAATTTTAGATATTTATAAAATGAAATTATAATTTGTAAGTATAAAGATGATTATAAGAATATATTATTATTATTAATTAATTATAATTGTAATTTTATTATATATATAAAAATTATATTTGAATATGATTGAAAATAAAAAAAAAAAAAAAATTTCGTTTATCGTTTTTTTTTTTTTTTTAATTTTTTTTTTTTTTAATTTTTTTTTAAAATTATTTTTTAATTATTTTAATTTTTTAAAAATTTTTATTTTTATCTCTTTTTTTTATATAAATGAATTTGATTAAAATAATTAAAATAATTAAATAAAAGGATCCTTGTTTTATCGATTTAAAATGAGTTATAAAAAAAACAATGATTTAAACATTTTTTTTTTCTTTTTTTTTTTTAAAATAAAATATACTGAAAAGGAATATAAATGAACAATTTAAACCTTTTTAATATATTTATAGAATAAAAAAATTAGTCTAAATCCGAATTATTATAAATTTATTTTGGTAGGAATCAAATTAAAAATAATAATTGATCAAAAAAAAAAAAAAAAAAAAAAAAAAAAAGATTTATATTTCAACTTCATTTTTCTATTTTCTAATTATATGTTATTGGATAAATATAATATTTTATAATAGATAAAAGTGTAATGACAATGAATATATTTATTTATTTATTTTTTATTAAAAAAAACCCATTTCCCTCTCAAATTTTATTTTTGAAAATTTTTAAAATTTTTAAATATTTTTTTTTTAATTTTGTGTTTATTTTAATTTTATCTATTTAATAATTGTAAAGAAATTGTTTATTTGTGTAACATTAAATAAAATATCTTTATAAGTTCAATATTTTATTTCAATAATCGATAAATAATAAATAAAAATGACAAAAAGAACATCAATAGAAGCAATAAATAAAAATAATTATTCATCAATTGATGATATTAAAAAATCATTTCAATCAAATATGGAAACTTTATTAGAAAAAGATAGCAATGCTGAAAACAGTTATAAAAGAAAAGTAAGTAGATTTTATATATTAGTTAAAAACCAATACATTAAATATTCTTAAAATTTAAAAGTACTAACGGTCTTTTATAATATAGTATATTAATTTAAAAGAATCAGTGGGTACAATTAAAAAATTAAGATTTACAGAAACTGAGCAACTTTTCGAAGAGTTTAAAATTAAAGCTGAACAAAGAGATTCTGGTTTGTATTTTAATAATAATAATTAAAAAAGTAAATAAAAATTTTATTAATATTTTATATATTTTTAGATGCCAGAAAACTTATAAATAAAATTAAAAGAGAATTGGATAATTATAAAACAAGTAACAAAGTATTAAAAGAAACATTAAATTCAAATCATGGATTCGATTGTGAAACTATAAGAAAAGATATTTTATTAAGGGTTGAGGACGATCATAAATTTTCAATTTCACAATTAAAATTAAATTATGATGAAAAGATGTCACAATTAGAAAGTTCAAGTAATCAAATGATTGTTGAAAGAGATCAAAATAAAGAAAAGATTACACAATTAGAATTGGAAATTGAAAAATTAAAACAACAAAACCAAGAACAACAAGAAAAAGAAAAATTGGAAAAAGATCAATTGGAAAAAGAATTTCAAGATAAAATAATTCAAGAAAAAGAAAAATTAGAAAAAGAATATCAGCAACAACAACAACAACAGCAAAAAGAAAAGGAGCAACAAGATCAACAGGATCAAAAAGAAAAACAAAAAATTCAAGATATCAGTTTAATAATCAAAAATAATGAGCAAATCGATCAATATTACAAGGATATTATCCAAGAGTTAAAGTTAAAGTTTGAGGAAGAAAGCAAAAATAATAATTTGAAATTTGAACAGATCATAAAGAAATCAGAAGAGAAATTAGCAGAGTCATCAAAGTTAATTTTGAAATTAGAAACAGAGAAAACAGACTTATTGGGTAAATTTCAAATGTTATCAAATAAATTTCAAGAAAAGTCAAATAATCACAAGGAGTTATTAATGCAGTTTGAAGAGTTAAAACAAAATATTATTAATGAACGTGAAGAATTTAACAATATAAAAAATAAAGAAATCGAACAATTAAATAAAAAATTACAAGATAAATCAAATGAATTGCAAGAGTTAAAGGAATCGACCGAGCAATCAAAGATCGAGTTACAAAAAGAATTTGAAGATATTCAAGCTAAATTTGATGAAAATTTAATGGAACAGCTCAAAAAGAAAGATCAAGAACTCGAGGATCAAATCAAAAAACACAACGAAGAAATTGAAGAATTGGAGGAAAGACTTGAAAAATCAAATGATGACTCTTTACCAACTGTTGAAAATCTTTTAAATCAATTAAAAGACCAAAAATTAGAATTGGATAGTTTAATTTCAAAAAGTATGCATTTATTATTATTCTTTTTAAACTTAAATATTTAAAATTAATTCAAATTACTATTGTTAAATTATAGATACAACAAGTTTAAAATATATAGAGTTATTCGAAATTTTCACTCATCTTAAAATTATCCAAGTTACAGACACTACCTATGAGCTTATTTGTCAAAATCAATCCAATAATGCCAGTAAGTTAAATAATATTTTACTCATACACATTATATAAATACAACACATGAACATACACACTCATACACATACATATACAACATGCACATACTCATACTCACTAATACTTTTTTATTGTTTAATAGAAATTCATTTGAAGTTTTCAATTGAGGAGGATGGTAGTTATAGTTGCTCAACAATTTCAATTGACAATTGCAAAGATGAAAATAATATGTTTTCAGAAGAAATTATTTTCACAAAAGAAGATGCATCAGGATTTTTAGTAAATATGTTATCAATCATACTTAATGATCAATAATAATTAATTAATATTCTCCAATAAAATTTTAAAATTGTAAATAAATGTTTTTTTTAAAATTTATTTATTTGTTTTATTTAATTTGTTTTATTATTTATAATGGGTTTATTGGAAAATTGATTGTGTTGGGGGACCAGGGAAATCAATTTTTCTAACATTAAAGTTTCTCTTTGAAATCCAATCGATGACACTATTTATCTTTTTATAATATACATGAATGCAAACATTCCCACCCAAACCAGCAGCAGCAACCCTTAATGCGGCTTTTTCTTTAAATGTTGAATATAGTTCATCTGCCAAGTCGTCGAAATCTGGGAGTGATCTTTGGAAGCCACCCATTTTAAGGGATAGTTCTATTGAATGAGTATTTGGGTTATTTAAAAAGTAGAACAAATTGAATTTATCATCAATTCCGAATTCTTTGCTAAATGATAGTGATGATTTCATTGTTGGTATACTTGAAGATCCACTTAATGATGTATTTGTTTTTAGAGATGATGGTAAAAGATATTTATCAATTTCTTTGATCCAGTTATTGATTGTAACATTATCTATATTATTATTAAAGTTATCTACCCATTTAGTTTCTTTGAATCCATCTCTGTAATCCAATAGTTGTTTATCTCCATCGTGTGCTGTTTTAACTATTGTCATTAAATCTTTAACTAGTTGTTTCTTTTGTTTCTTGTTGTTGTTTTGGTTCAAAAAACATATTATTTGTTGATATACAATACCACGTTCTAGTTCAGAGAGAACATAAAGAATTGATTTTCTATTCCAAAATTCTTGGTCATTCTTTCCCCTTTTGTGTTCTGGTAATAGTAAAAGGAGTTTGTATATGTATTGATATCTCTTGAGTCTGTTGTTCTTGAGTTCTGGGAACTGATTTTCAATTTCACCATCAGCTGATAGGTCACGGAGTAAATTATTTTTTGAGATTGATAAATATAATTTTTTCAATTCAATATCTGTTAAATCTGTTAGCTGTGATGTTTTTTCAATTTCATTTGGGTTTGAAAGTTTATCTTTAAGTATTTCAATAGAGTCTACACAAACCATTGATCCAAATGATTTCATAATTTGATTTGCCCAATGGAATATCATATCCACACTATTGTTTTTGATAAATTTGTTTTCGATGTTATCTGCAATCCATCGACGACCTGCTAATGATGTTAAACGGGGTATACTGCTTTCTGCCATGATAACTAAAATTTCATCTGGGAATTTTATTGATTTAATAAATCTTTCAGGAATTGAACCAATAATTGATATTTTACCCTTCTTTGAGAAAAGTTGTGCTGTTTTATCAGACGCTCCTCCAGATTTACCCATAAAGTATTCTGCATAGTCAGTTGAAGCCATTTGCTCTTTTGTTAAATTCCAATCGAATAAATAATTTAATGCTAAAATTACTGCTCCTGTTAAGGCTGAGCTTGAACTTACACCACCTGTATATCCCAGTCCTAACATACCTTTGTTTGAGAAATGTAATGATAAGGAAAGACCTTTTGATTTTAATGATGTAAGATCATTTACAACTTGTTTTGGGAATTCATCCCTTTTTAGGAATAAATAGGCTAATAAACTTTTAATATAGTTTTCCCAAGAAATGGGGTCCCAAAGTGGCTCTTGGCTTCTTGCACTATGGTGTCTATTAAATGGTTTTAATACATCATCATCAATTGAAAATTGTGAAACTTGGAAATTTTCATTTTCGTTGGATAGAGTAATTGTACCTGCTGGGTGATGATTGATATTTTCTGAGGATATTTGTGCAACACATAAAATTTCGTTTATTGTATTTGAATCTACAGTGAAACCACCCAATCCTAAAAAATCGCTATGGCCCATGAAAACTCTATCTCTACCATTAGAACCAATCAATACACTTCTTAGTTTGCTATTAAATTGATGTTGGTTTACTGCATTATCTAGAAGTTCGGTAATGGTGGTTTGTCTATCGTTCAATAACTCAAGTTCGTCATTTTTTATTGATCGTGATGAAGGGTTCTTTGAATCAAATTTGCAATATCTTTCCTTCAAAATTATTGGAGATAGAATTTTTTTCATTGATTCTATTGATAGGTGACAGTTTCTTAATACCATACACCAAAAATAAGTTGATATTGGTGTCGACATGTGACAGGATTCGAACTCTGCATTCATATCATCTCCATCTTTAAAGAATAGTTGTTCTGCCATTATTAAACTTCCTGGTCTTGAGTTGGCTTCTAAAATATATGGTGTATAACATTGTTTAATGGTATCATGACAGAGTATCATATCAATACCAACTATAGGGAGCTCTATTTCAGATAATATTGAATGTGCAATATTTGCCCATGATATCCAATCTTTCTTTTTAATAGATATTGGTAAATCATTTAATACTTCTGAAACCATTACCCATTTTGAACCTCTAACACCTGGTGATATAATTAATTCTTCTGGGGAACCTGCCTTGACTATAGAAATCGTTGTTAAACCACCGATGCATGCATTGATTCTTACAATAATACGTCTGTTGTCTGATTTTGTTTTAACAGAGTCTATAAATGGGGAAATGATATACTCTTCTGATGATGACGAGTCGTTACTATCAAGTTTTTGCATTAGATTTTGAACAGCTTTCTTAATTGCGTTTGGTGGTGCAAAATATTCAACCCCTTCAGATTCGGTTGTATTTGATTTTGGCTGAAGAATAACTCCTCTTTCTACTTGTGAATGGCTAACTAAATTTAGATCTAATAAATCAAGTTCTGGGGCTTGTTTTTCAACTTTTTTTGTGATATCTCTTTCTGTTAATATTTCACCCAAATGAATACATGCTATAGATTGATTGGTTTTAATTTCACCATTTTGGAACCATTTTGGAATATTTGATTTTAGCCAATACTTATCGTCGCATCTTTCTAAACTCTTAGAATAATCATTCATAATGAAAACATTATGTTTTTTTAATTCATCAGAGATCGATTGATGTAGATTTGTTTCCTCGCCTAATTCGGTATTATCTAATTCCAGTATAAAACAACTTGAGAGTTTTAAACTAATATTTGATGGTACATTAAACTCTAAAATAGTTGGGCAACGTTCTCTGCTAAGTACTTGACAACGTGTAACATATGCATAGCCTTCATCAGAATTATATTTTATCCAATCCTTGTTTATACCAATTACGTTCAATGGGAAGCTATCTTCAGAGTACAAACTATTGATCTTTAATTGGAAAGATTGGAAAAATGGATAGAAGTGGTGGTTCATCAAAGTTGCTTTACCAGTAATTACAGCGAATGTATTGGGGTGTTTAATATATGGCTCTATCCAAATGCTACCATCACCCATTTTCATTTCTTCTCTGTCAGGTGATATAATTTCAACATAGGGTGTAAGATCTTGACTTATGACACTATCGAAATATCTTTCAACAATTCTCTTTAGATATAGGTTTAATTTGTCATCCATTGAGTTGTCATCGTTTACAATTGAATATAAATAGTTATCTATTTCTATATGATATTTATCTAGATTATTTTTTAAATAGTTTTTGCATAATTTAATACCATTATTTATAAATTCTTCCGGGTTATCTATATTAAATAAAAAAAGTTTGTTAGAAAAATTCATTTTTAAAAAATATATTTAAAATATAAGAAGTGTTGTATATTTTAATGAAGGAAATAATATTTTGTGTTATTATTTATAAAAATTATTATAATTTTATTTAAAATTTAATTAGTTGTCATTACCTTTTAAATGATTAAGAGTTGAAGATGATTTAATATTATCAATTAAATCTTTTGAAATTTGACTGTTTTGATCTTTATGTTGTTGATCATTTATTATTGTAATTGATGGCCTTTTGTTTGATCCACTTTGAGATTGAGTACCAATATTATATCCACTACTTAGTGAGTTTGATAAATCTGAATGTTGATATTGTTTGTCATCAAAATTTAAAATTGTTGATTTAATTTGAGCTAAAAGAGATTTAGATAGAGTTGAAACAAATTTACGACCTACATTTAACATATTTGATATTACAATACGATCATTATCACCAACATTACTCCAATCTATTTGCTGTGTTTGTTTATTTTTATATAATTCAATTTGTCTTTTAGCGACATTTGTCCATAAACCTATACCAACCTGTTTAAAACCAAAGCATATTAGTAAATTTATTACTAGTTTTATTATAGTTTTATCTATTCGCTATTATTTTATAACTTACATTTGGTTCCAAGTGCCAGAATTTCATACCTTTTACTTCACCTTCAAATTCTTCACCAGTTTTAAGATCTTTTAATAAATAAGTGACGGGGCAAATAGAATTATCAATTAGACTGTCACTAACATTTTCAGTAGTGGGTGGGATTGATATATCGATAATTCTATAATAGTCTATAATTTGATCTGTTCCTTTCTTTACCCAAACTGGTTCTGGAATAAAATCTAACATTAAATAACGTGGCCACCAAATTGGGGTTCCTAGAGCATCAAATTCATTAACTGATGGGAATCTTTCGTGGTATGATTTAAATGATTGATCGTATAGTTCAATGGGTTTATTCCAATAAGTTGGTCCAAACGATGACATTGCTGACATAACTAATTTACCTGCATCTTCCAAGCCTTTAATAAACGAATCACTTAATTGTGGTTTTATCATTTCTTTTGTTAAAAGTTCTAATTGGCCTTGTCTACCTACATTAGTTGCAATCTGTAAACTATTTAGTGTAATTGGGTGAGAGGCTTTCCAATTTTCGATATTATCCAAATCTTGTTGTGAATTTGATTTCGCAGTTGAACTTGATAATATAATACGTAGTGTTCCATATATTGAATCTTTTGGATGTCTATTTAGTTCTAAAGCAACACCATAATCATTGATTTGTCTTTCAACCATTTTTTTAACAGAATTATGAGACATCCAAAATAATGGTGAGGAGATGATTGCTCTTTGAATTACAACATTTTGAGACTTTGAAATATTTAAAATAAAATCGCATGCATCCTGTAAAACTTTTTTTGAAATTTCTCCTGTTCCTGAATCTTGATTTTCTAATAAATCGAAACGTGATAAATTTCTGGCACCAGATTCTGCTGCGCCCTTTACAATGATAATAGGGTATTGATGAACAAATGGTAATAATCTTGCTTCAATCTTTTTCATTAGCTCTTGATACTGGTTTGGATTTTGTTTAAAGTGTTCAACTGTTTCAATTTGAAGCCAATCAATTTCTGGTGGTAAAAGTACTTTGGATTTTTCGTTGAAGATCAATGGATATAATGATTTGTTATAGGTCATTTCATATAGGAATGGTGATTTATCAGTTGTTGGATATCCACTGTTGGAAATAGTTGGTTCTAAACGGTGATGATGTAATGTTATAACGCTACCAATAGCAATTGGATGAACAAATCTTGAGGCTATTAATACTCCTTTAGTTGGTAATAAAACTTTAGATTGATAATCATTCTTTACTCTGATTTCTATAGATTGATCTGACATTAATAAATAATTCTTTAGGTAGAATCTATATTGGGTTTCATTGATCCAATAGAAAGCGTCATTAATAGTCAATACTCTCTGTTTGCTTGATTCTTCCTCTATAAAGTGGCCATCACGAGTAATAAATAAGTTGTCTTTTAATGTGGGGCCCTCCATTAATGAACTTGCATAATGAGTACGACCAACTGGAGAAAGATAACAATGGTTAACTTTATTTGAAGCATCAAGAGTTTCTTCTAAATATGGATCGATTGGAATTGCAAATACACGAGGTGGTTGGAAACCATCATTCTTAATGAAAACTATTTCTCTTAACTGATTATAAGATCTCCATAACAATTCGTAATGATTTGGGGCTAGAGCACCTATAGCACGAATTATAACATTATCTTGTTCAGTTTGATCGGTAGGACAAATGAAAGTTTTACCTAAAAGCAAATCTATACATGAATAAATATTACTTGATGCTGATGAAGTGTTACTTGTATTACTAATACCCGAGTTTGTACTAGCACTTAAATCACTTAGTTGAATAGTTAAATTGTTTATTGTAACTTGGTTAATTAATGATGTTTTGTTGATAATTAGCAATCTAATATATTCATATAGATTACGATGCGATGACCAATATATTTTGAATTGCTCTTCTCTCTTTCCTTCCAACATAACACCTACTTCGTCAAAATTAACTTGGAATAAAGAATATCTTTTAGGATCTAATGTCCATGGTGTATATTCTGAATAATGGTCGTCAATTGTTTTGGCAAAGAATTCAGCTAGAGATCTCCATACTACTTGATCATTATATTCATTTGATTCTAAAGATAAATAGGTTCCTGTCTTTTCGAATAATAGCAAAGTACTAAGGACTTCAGAAATAATTGAAATTACTTCAATGTGATCGTCATATGAAAGATTATTGTGGGACTCTTGATACAAAGGTGTTATTTTTCCAAAACTTTCATAAGTTCCAACTAATTGATCCCAAACCTTGATATCAATTTCATTTCCATTAATACAAAGTTCGCTAATAAGTTTTAAGAGTGTTTGCTTTTCATTGATGGTATTGCTGTTGTTCATAAGTATTAAATGAACTAATGATTCTAAAACATTTGTTGATAGTTGATAAATTTGACCAATTAAATAATTAATTTTTTCAAACGAGTTTTCGATTGAGGTTGATTGTAACGAAATGCTACTTGAACTGCTATTAAGATTATTATTACTGTTGCCGATATTGAGTAAATAATAATTTAGTTTTTTAATATTTTCGTGAATAGGTATTAACAACATTGTTTTGATACTTGTCAATGATGAATGAGAAATTGAATTTTTTAAAGAATTGAAACCATTTGTTTTTGATTTCATCATTTGATTCTTTTTAGATTGTAATAATAATTCCTTCCTTCTTGTAACACCAGTTTCAACATGCTCTTCACTTGCTTTTACACTAAACATTTTACCCTTTCTATCTTTTAATTGGATTTTACTTGGAGCTAATTGCTGAATAATCAATTCTTTTATTTGTGATTGTTGATCGAATAGTGATGATACCGATAAGTCGTATTCAACTTCTTTTGCGTTGGATTCATTAAAGAATTTAATTAAATTATTGATTTTTTGATAAGAGTTTTGTATCATTGTTAAAACCCTAGTTTGGAATTTGGATGTAGCTCCATTCAATAACAAATAACCACCGATTGACAACCAATGGATTGGTGATATAGTTGATACATTTGGTTTATCTATTAGCTGCTGCAATGATTTACTAATGATGAAATCTCTCTTTCTTGATCTATTAGCCAAGAGAACTCTTTGTTCATATTGGATCAATAGTTCTATTTCATTTTCCAAATTACCAAATAATGAGTTTGATTTATTTTCTACAAGTGTTGGTACAATAAAGTTTTTACCATACATAACAAAATTAAATTTATCGATTAGTTCTAGAGTTTCTTTATCATCGGTAGAATTGTAAATATTTTCGAGGTATTCAAAGCACATGATTGCACGATCTTCTTGTCTATAAACTTCTTCACGAAGATCTGTACCCAAGAATGGTTGATATTGATCTTTACCCCAGCCAAATGAACGATAGATTGATTTCCTTCCATTTACTTTACGATTTCTCCAGGTATCAGTTCCGGTCATATAGACACCATTTGAGTCAATGGATAAACATGAAGCATACCATAGCATAACATCTCTTTCAAACCAACAACGATGTCTTCCTTGACTAACAAAATCTAAAGCACAAAGACTACTATTTGGACGACCAATGATCATTAAATCTCTGAGAGTGGCAGGGTTTAATTCCAAAAGCTGTGGGTGTGTAATTGAGAATACCACTACATCCTGACCTTGAAGATCTTTAAAAAAATCGTTTCCAGGACCTCTAAGTCTTAATACCAATGGATGAATTTTGCCACCTATCTCCCTTTTAATTTCATCACGTTCATTCTCTGGTAAATTGCAGAGTGGTATCCACTCATCAATGAACTGTCTATGAAGTTGAGCATTTGCCTTTAACTGATCGATTGATATACCTTTACTCTTTAAATACTCTAAAGCTTCTGTTGCATCATCACCTAATAAATGTAATGTTTCAGCAGAAAAACCTAATAGATCTTCACTATCGACACCTGGTACTGTTGTAACAGTAATATCACCTACAGTTGAATGAGGAGGGAATCTTTCTTTGAGTTTGGATATCATTTCTTTATGCTCTTTATTTGATTGGTCAAAGTCATTACAATTTAAAAACTGTTGAGCTAAATATCGTCTTGCCTCTATATCTTCAGGATGGTTTGATGTTGGATTAAAACCTAACCATGATAATCTTGCTATTAATTGGCCTTCTTCATCCAAAGATAATGCAACTTCTTTATAATGGCCACTTAATATCATAAATGCCCTCATTACCCATGCAAAACGAACATCTGGTGGTGGTTTTTGATCATCGTCACCTTTATAAACACCAAACATATGGACTCTTAATTTATCTTCACTTGGTAAACCCTTACAATTTGGATTTAAAGCGATAGCTTGATTACCACTATCTGGAATACTGAGAGTTAATGGGAATACCAATGATCTATTGACTTGTTCGCCACCCAATGTTATCTTTTTCTCGGCCCAGAAGCTCCATAGTGCTGAGTGTAAGTCTTTTTGCCAATTAACTAATGGTGATGGAATACCTGTTTTACCAAGAATTTGACAAAGTTTTGAAACATGTAATACAACAATTCCACCAGTAACTTGAATGTACTTTTCCATATATTTTGATACATCATCAGAAAATTGACCACAGAATTTCTTTAATAAACTATTATTGGTACCTTCTGTAAATTGTTTAGCTGCCCAATTCTCCCATTCACCGTTTGTTTGGAATTGCCATTGTCTTGAAGAGATCTCAATCATCATTTGAATAATCATTGTGTGTAAATGACATGGTATACCAATCATTGAAAGTTTTCTACTATCTTGATGAGTAACAACAAATAATTTAAAAAGCAAATCCTTTGGAATACAATAACCAGCTGTTGGATTTGCACCACTGAAACCCTCCGACTCTTTATGTAATGCGACTGCTAAACCACCTCTTTGATTGAATTGGTATGCTAAATCTTCTATATCGCCTACTCCTAAACGTTCAACAAATAGTGCTTGAACATTTCTTATGGATCTTGTTAATGCAGTATTTTGATTTTCTGAAACCTTTAAATTTTCAGCAGCAGTAATGGTACGAATAATAGGATTATGATTAATTAAACTATAGAAATCGAATGCATGTTTAGCACATAATGGATCGGTAACACCAACGAATTGAGGCCAAGTTTCAACACTCTTTCTTTCATCTTTTCCCAAATTAACTCTTGATGGACCATAAACAAAATGATAACGCTTTCTCATACCAGATGGTCTGATTGAAGCATCTTTAGAGATTATTGCACCGCAGCTATAAGAGAACATTGGATTATTCATTTGGTCAAGTAGTGAATTTTCTGAAACTACTGATCTTCTTGCGGTAGTTAGTGATAAACTTGTATGGTTTCTATGGAATTTATTTAAACGGTTGGATAAAAATAATTCCGGTCTTTCTTTATCTAAATTATCCAATAGTTTTAATCTTGCCTCCCAATGAATAAATGCTTGCAATTCATTCTTATATGGCTGAGTTGTCTTTATAACATTTCCTACCTCATCCATGGATGATGAAAATAATGAAAGTTCTTTATCAGTTTTATTTTGATGATAAATAAACTCAATACCTTTCTTTTCAAATTCATTATAATTTAAATTATTTTCTAAAATTTTGATTACCCCCTAAGTAAAAGATAAATTATAGAAGTATTAATATTTAGAAATTAATATTGGATATTTAACATATATTATAAAATTATTACCTTTGGTTCATGTTTAATAGCTTCTTCTAAACTAAAAGTGTTGTTTTTTAATAATGTATCGATTTGGTCCAATTGATATAATACTGCTAAAAGTGAAACTTGTTTCTGAATAATAATATTATCGGAAATGATTGAAAGAATTGCTGAAGTATTTGAAATCTTTAATTGATTCATACGTTGCTCTACGATTGGTTGATAGTTAAACTCTTCAATAACTTTTTTACCAATTGTTAAGAGTTCATTTCTAAATTGATTTTGTTTCTCTTTGACTTGAGCTTCCAAGTGATGATGTTCAACAATATTCTTCAAACACATTTCTTCTTCTAAAACTGCTTGAATAAAACCTTCAACTAAACCTGGAGCTTCAGTAGTTAGCAAATGGAAAGCTGGTAAATTTCTTTGTTTCTTTAATGAGTAGTATTTAAATTCGGATAACTTGTTCTGGTTAATAGATGATAGGTTTATTGATTTGCTTTTTTCTACCAATTGTTTAATTTTTTCAATTTCACTGCTTTCATCATTGGATACATTGTCACCACTAATACCCTCATTTACTGCTTCACTTTCCAATGAAATGGATTGGTTTAATAAAAATTCTTTAAATGATTCTAATCTTGTTATAAATTTTGAATTTTTCCAGTTTAGTTCAATATTTTGTTCAATCTTGTTTATATTTGAATTAAATTCGTTTTCTAAATGCAAAGCTAGTTTTATTATTTGATCCTTTTGATTAATAAGTAAATTACGGTATATAAATTCTTTTTCAAGATTTGGGTATTGGTCTAACAACGATTGAGCATTTGATGATAGTTCTTGATCTGATAAAACTAAGAATTCTCTTGCTAAAGCCAAATGCTCTGTATCCATTGTAATTTTAATATTCTTTGACCATGGATCTGCTAATGAACGGATTGTTAACTCTAAACCCTCTTGATCAACTTCAAATACTGTGGTTGATTTGCCATCAATAACATGAGTACGTTCATAGATAAATAGCGGTACGGCCTCGATTAAATCGGTACAGTGTTCCACCCAGCAATTACTTGGACTCATATGGATATTTTCACCACCTATTCTAATTAGCTTTTGAAGAGATTCTTCTTGTTCTGGCTTTGGTTCTAAATCATTTGTACGGAATCTTTCTGAACCACTCATTGATGGTCTTTGAAGTAATACACTGTATGTTGAATACTCCTTTCTCGACCCGAGCACATGTTCTTCTAAACGATAAAGATGGCCCCATACAATTCCATAACCTCTTGCATAAAGATTATCAATAAAACGATATAGTTGAATAAAGTTGTTGGATTGCGATAAGTTTAATGTACGTGTGGAACCTTCAGCATGCAAATTGGTAGAACGAGTATTAAACTCATCAATCATTTGATAACACTTGCCATGTACAATTGTAAGAGTCTCTTTTAGTTGGATAATTGCCCCATGAATCTGAGTAATGGACTGTACCCTTTTAGAAGATAAGCTTGAAAATCTACCTATACTTGCCAATAAGTGTTTAATTGGCTCCAATAATTTAAGTCTGAATGAATTTAATTTGTTGTTTTTCATTTGACTGAATTGCTTTTCAAATAATGAATTAAAGTACTGTTTATCTAATGAAGTAGCGATATCTTTGATTATTTCTCTGGTGACTCGGTCAATTTCAACCATAGTGCTACTTGCAAACAATGTAGCCTGATTAGAAAATGCTCTACTTTCTCTACCTACAACAATATTCTTTTTAAATGACTTTGGTTGGTGTTCAATAGAAGCGCTGGTGGTGAACATTGTCTCTTGGTTGGTAACAATGCTATTACTAAAGGTATCAGACTCTTCTCTGAATTGATTTGATAAACGAATTGAATTAAACTCTTCTATTAATGGATCAAATCTTTTAATTACTTGATAGGTTGCATATCTCCTCTCTGTAACATCATCAATGGATAAAGCTTTCTTTAATTGGTCTCTTTCATAACATGAATCTAAACGAACTGAACCCATATACCATGAAACCTTTGTATCTCTCTTCTTTATTACATTTTCAATTGTTTCATTCATTAATTCGCTATCGATTGTATTTGAATGTTCTGAAAAATATAGTTCTAAAGCAATGGTATCAATTGATGGTGAAACCTTTAACTTTTCAAAGCAACTAAGCTGTTGTTGATTAATTGATTTAATATCATTTATATAGTCTAGGAATAAATGATCAGAATCTAGTAGGCCATTTGAGACCTCAAAAGCTTTTAATAAACAACAATAGTCTTGTTCACTTAGAGATAAAATATAATTTTGGATTCTATGTAATGAAATTCTGTATAATAAACTTTTTGATAAAATATCACTTGATTGTTGCTGAATTGTTTGACTAATTATTAACCAATAAATAATTGCCACACTGTAAAGCAATGACAACTGATATTCAATAACTTGTGAACTTGTACCATTCTCTCTTGACTTGTCAATAAATAATTTAATAAGCCCATAGTTTGATATATTATTAAAGGTTAAATCATTATAATTTAAGTGATAACTATTAAAGTTATTATTATTGTTATTATCATCATTATTATTACTTTTATTATTTTTATTTATTTGGTTTAGCAATAATGATTCATTATTTAACAAATAGGTGAATGATGATAGATAGCCATGATTTTCATTGAAATTAATATTTAATGATTGTTGTTGATGTTGTTTAAATTGATTATAAATTGTTGGATAATTATTATTTAAAAAATTAAGTGATTTTAATATAGTTTTAGTGATTTGATGGTTTTGATTACTTTCTTCCAAGACATAGTCGTAACTATTACTGTTATTTAAGATACTATTATTGTCAATATTTAAACATGTTGCATCATTGGATGAATGAATATCAAGTTTTTCAAAATTAATCTCTAAATTTAATTTATTAATACCATAATTTCTATTACTGATTTGTAAATTATTCTTATTGTTATTTTGTTGCTTTTGATTAGTTGCAGTGACTATACCAATGGAAAAATTGTATAATTTTGTGTCAATTTCCTGTAATTATTTTTTTTTTTGAAATTTATTGAAAATAAAAAAAATATAAGTAAAAAATTAAAAAAATTTTTTTTAAAAAATTAAAAATAAATAAACAAAACAGAACATATATTTATATATTTAGGTACCAACATTTAAATCTAAAGACCTATATAAACTATTGTCTATAGAGTTATCTTCATTTTTAATCATTTTGACTTTATGAAAATTCCTTTTATATTTTTTTTTTTTTTTTTTTTATTATATATATAAATATAAAATAATAATTGTTTTATTTGAAATGTCTACAGATAGAAAAAAAATAAATAAATAAAAAACTATTTGAAAAAGAATGTGAATTTAAAAAAATGTGTGAGAAAAAAAAAAAAAAATTAAATTATGAATTAAAAAAATTAAATTTCAAAAATAAATTAAAAAAAATCATTTATTTATTTATCATAAAAAAATTCAAAGGGGGAAAATTAAAATATATAATCGAATTATATATTACTTTGATTGAATAACTATTCAAATATTTGTTTGTATATAAAAAGTAAAATATTTAAAGTTAAATATTTTAATTTTTTATATTATAAAATATTATATTTTTTTTTATGGCATATTTTTTTTTCAAAAAAAAAAAAAAAAAAAAGATATAAAAGGGGTAAATAATCTTCAATAAAAATTTTTTTAAAAAAAAAAAAAAAAAAAAAAAAAAAAAAAAAAAAAAAAGATAAAAATTTTAATTTTTTTTTAATTTAATTTCGATGATTGGTTGTGTGTTTGTGGGTGTATGATGATTTCCATTTTAAATAACAATTAAATAATTATAAAAAACAATAGTATGTGATATGATAGATACATTTCTTTATCATTTGATAGTCGCACACAGTAAATATTATTACGATGTGTATCTCAAGAGTGATATATAATTGGGGGGTACGTGTATGTATATATATGTGTGTATATGTGTGTGATGTGTGGTATATAATTATATGAATATGTACATTTAATAATTAACCTTATAGACAATAATAACCTAAAAAAAATACAATAATAAATATTTGCGAAATTTTTTTTTCCCATATAGATTTAATAAAACTAATAATAATATAATTTTAATCATAATAATAATTCATTCAATAATAATAAATATTTTTTTTTGTATTTTCTTTTAATAATATATAATAGGAGTTAATAGCAATAATAATGGAAATTATAAAACTTATTTAATAAATATAGAATAATAATAAATAGAATTAAAAAAAATTAAAAAAAATAAAAATAAAAAACATTCTATAAATAAATATGACCATATTGTGCACAAAAAAATTTAAAAAAAAAAAAAAAAAAAAAAAAAAAGAAACTATATTTAGAAAATTTAGATTATATATCATTTAGTAATGTATTTAATAATTATATTTATTTATATTTATTTATATTTATTGGTGTGTTTTAGGTTGTGTGTGTTAATGTGTGTTGGTGGTAGAGAATTAAATAAATCACACCCACTTTTTTTTTTTTTTTTTTCAACACAAACACACACATTACTATTAATATTAATAATAATATTTTTTAATAGAAAAAAAAGAAAAAAATATTAATATTAATAATAATAATAAAAGTAAAAAAAAAACTCTATTTTTTTTTTTTAGTTTAGTTTTGGGGGAGGGGGGGGAAAAAAAAAAAAAAAAAAAAAATAAAATAATAATATTATTATATAACTTTTATATATTTATTATTCAAAATATATTGAAAGTTTTTTTCATTTTATTTTATTTTATTTTTTTATTTTTTTTTTAATTTTTAAAAATTTATATAATAAAAAACTATATTATATAATTTTGAAATATAACAAAACTTTTTTTTTTTTTCCTTTCAGTTCTTTATTTTCTCACTATCACAACACTTTCACACTTAATTTTTGTTATATTAATTTTTACATATATTTTTAATATATTATTTTTTCCATATTGTTAATAAAAATAATTTTATTAAATATACTTTAAAAAATAATAATAATTAATTCTATTTGTTTTTTAAATTTTGATGTTTTTTTTTTTCTATTTATTACTTATAATTTAATTAAAAAACTCATTCAAAAATAACTAATATTATAAAAAATACACAGGAAACAAATAATATTCAATATTTATAAACACAGTTCCCTCAGATCACTAATCAAATAATAAATTCAAAGAAAAGAAAAGAAAGAAAAAAATTAAATTTTAAAATTTAATTTTTAAATTTTAAATTTTAAAATTTAAAAAAAAAAAAAAAAATGAGCCAAAGTAATAGCCCTAACAGCAACAATAATAATCACAATAATAGCTCAAAAGAAATTAATAACCTAACATCAATAAGCTCATCAAATAATATCAACCAACAATTTAATAATCCACACAATGATAAATTAGTTTTACTATGTTCGTCGTGTCACAACAAAATCCCTCAAGATGTTAAAGAATTAAATGAAAAGGTTTTACCTGGTTTTCACGATCTTAAATACTCATTCACCTGCAAAAACTGTTCTTCATCTAAAACCCCAATCCTGTTCCATTTGGGTAAATCTTGGAAATGTGTAATTCATACCGCCTTATTTAATATGGAAAGACAAAACAACCAAAGATTCTTTCACCATTCGGATGTTACAAACTATGTAACAAAATATCCAAATGTATTTTTACATGATAAATCATTAGGTAAGCATATTAAATAAATATAAAATTATAAATAATATCATATTAATATTTTTTAATTTTCTTAGCTGATATTTCAAAAGCAGTATCAATGGCTTTCTTTAATAATAAGAACTATTTTGTATCTGGTGGTCCATATACTGGTAAATGGGCAAACCCAAAGCCATCAGAAGTTGGTGATATTGACCAAATGGAAAATATAGACTCACCACCAAACAATGAAAGCTATTATAATGGTATCGAAGAAGTAGGCGGTCAAAGTAAACAACAACAGCAACAACAACAACAACTATTAAGCCCATCTAGATCAAGATCAAGATCAAGATCTCGTTCTCGTTCAAGATCACAATCTGTATATAGTGGCGCAAGTGGTAGATCTCGTTCGAGATCAATAAGTGTTTCACCAAATGGTACAAGAGGTCGTTCAAGATCAAGATCAAATAGTCGTTCAAGATCTCTATCAAATAGCAGTGCCAGTTTATCGAGATCAAGATCAAACTCATTAAACAATAGAAATAATAATAATAATAATGAACGTCGTGATCGTCGTGACCATCAAAACGACTCACCCTCTCGCTCTCCATCCCAATCAAATAGCGAATCAGAGTCAAATAGTGATTCTGAATCATATTTAGAAAAGAAATATCTTGTTTGTTCGACTTGTAAAGAATTATTTTCGTTTGATCCATCATTAAGCCGTGTCGCACCCGGTCAGTTCGACAAGAACTATGAATATGTTTGTAAATTTTGCTCTGATGATAACCCACAATTAAAACACCATCCAAAATCATGGACCAAAATAATTCATACTGCATTGCACAATTTAGAATTAGAAAAAAAAGTAAGATTCCACCCCAAAAAAGATATATATCAATATATCGTTCAACATCCAAAAGAGTTAATGATCGATTCAAAACAAGAGGTTACACCTGCCATCATCAACTTCATTTTATTATCGGGTAGAAGTTTATTTATCAACTCTTTTATAAATCAAAGACTCTGGTGTAATAGAAAGAAAAGAGATAAGGTCGAAACAGATTCTAGAGGTGTTTTATTATTGAGTAAGGAAATTTCAAAGAAACGTTCTCACACTGATTTCGAAGATCAATCTGTACGTGATCACCAATCCAACAATGGTGCCTCCCATCACCATGACGGCAAAGATATGGGTTCACCATTAATTTCAACTTCAATATTAAATTTAAATCATCGTGACCATCGTGATCAACATGGTAATAACTTCCCTGGCTCATCTTCTCATCACGGTGGTGGTAATCACCATGGATCATCACATCATGGTGGCAACAATCATGGATCGTCTACACATAGCAACTATCACCAACAACAAAAATCAAATAATGAAATTCTTAAATCAACCATTCTTTCAAATTTAAACAAAAATGGTGGTGTTGTAAACTCTGGTAATGTTGCAATTCAAAATATTAAATTTACCCCACTACTTTGCAATCATTGTAAAGGAGTTTTTCCAAATGCTGCAGCAGAACTTTTAGAAGATACTCCAGGCATGATTATTCCAAGTCATATTGATAAACGCTACACCTATATTTGTGGTAATTGTAGTGATAAAAAAGTAGCCACTTTAACCCACCTACCAAAATCATGGAAAGTTATTGTTCATACTACTCTTTATAATCTTGGCATCATCAGCGGTCAAAAATTTTCATCAAACAAAACACTATATTCATTCATCTCTGACAACTCAAATACTTTATTATTAGGAGGCAAAACCATTGACTATTTAAACAAAAATTTGAGTGGAGTACTTTCATCTTACAAAAATCTATTCTGTTCCTCTGGTAGAAATATGTGGGGAAATGTTTCACAATATCAAGAAGATGGCAAAAAAATGAATATGGATGAAGATGATGATAAAAATTCTGATGATGAATATTCACACAGAAAGAAAAAATTAAAATCAAACAATAGTAATAATAGCAATAATATCATCAGTAGTACCAATAATAACATAAACAATCTCAATAATAATAATGATAAGATGATAATTGATGAAACAGAAACCATTTCATTGCATAATTCCCCAACTGCAGTAACAAGTAATATTATTTTAAATCATAGTAATAACAATGTAAATAATCTTTCAAACAGTAATAACATCCCTTCCTCTAAAGTTATTTTATTATCAAATAATAGCGGTAATAATGGTAATATAAATAACAACAATAGTAATAATAATGTAAATAATTTATCATCTAAAAGAAATGATGATCCACCATTTAAAAAAGATACTACAATCTCAACTCAAACTTCAACATCAACTATTTCTTCGCCATATACACAAACAAATAGTAACAATAATAATAATAACAATAATAATAATAATAATAGCAATGGTAGTATTAATAACATTAGTAATAATAATAATAGTAATAATAATATAAGTAATTTCAAAAAATCAAACCCCTCTACACACCAACAAACAAATTTATCATCTCCTTTGGCATTTAAACCCAATGATTATAAATCTTCTGCCAATAAACCATTACCAACATCAGCTAATAAAACTCCACAACAATATCATCAGCCTCTATTCGATGAAGATTTGGTCGATGATAATGCTGAAATTATTATCCACGATGAAAGAATTCAATCATTAGTTGGCTTCTTAAAGGTCAATGTTTCAAGTGATTTGAAACTACTAAGAAGAGAAATTGAAGATATGGAAATACCAGAACTACGCAACTTGGAATTTAGATTTATTTTAAAGAAGACCCCAATTTCATTAAAACAAGAACCAATGTACAGTATTAAAGACTGTTTATTCCAATATAACAATAGAATTACCATTGAAATTAGATCAATTGTACCAAATCCACAACAATCCCAACAATCATACTCTACACCAAATCCATTTTTAATGTCTCCACTTAACACACCAAACAAATTAGCCAACAATAATACAAATAGTGGAAATATTTTACAATCACCACAATTCTCAAATATTCCAGACATCTCTGCTTTATCAAATCACCCATTATTAGTCCTCCTATCACAATTTGTAAATCCATCAAATACCACCACACCTCTTCAATCAACACCATCGCAACAATCATCCCAGCAACCAATTAATAAAAAATTACCAATTACCAAAATCTCATCAGATTTAGATGAACAAGACGTTCCAAACCCAAAAGAATCATTTTCACCACCAACCAAATCATCATTAAATCATCACAACCAAAGCTTAAATGAAAGAGAAAAAGAAAAAGAAAGAGATAAAGATGAAGATATGGTCGATGATTTAAATAATGAAGATTTAAAATGTAATGACAAAAACTTTACAAATCTTTTAACAACTGTTACCTCAACTTCAACCTCGTCATCGTCATCAACCCTATCCAATAATGGCACACCATCCACAACAAATAATAAGAGAGATGAGAGTAATAATAGTTTAAAACATGAATCAAATTCCAATTCACAACCAATAGGCGCAGCATTAAACTAATCAAATATTACAAATCTTCCTTTAACTATTTATTGTTTTTTAATGTTTTTGATAAAAAGTTTAACTATATATAAAAAAATTGTAAATAAAAAAAAAAAAAAAAAAAAAAACAAATACATATTTTAATTTTACTATTGAACACATTATTTATATTATTATATTTTATTATTTTTCCTCATTTGTAAAAATAACCTTTAATCTATCGAATAAACCCCATTTCTTTGATTTCATTTTGGCTTGTGATTTAGTTGATAATAAAACTTTTGACTTTTCTACATAATCTGGTACTATATTAATTGAACATGGATACTGTTATAAATATAATAATAATATTAGTAATTTATTCTTTAAAGGATAATGATATATGGTACCACATATATTTTGATTAATTACTTTAGTTAAATATTTATTTTCTAAAATATCTTTAAAATTTGAATAAACTTTATCTGCTTCAATTTCTAAATCTACTAATTTTCTTTTATCTGTTACATTTTTATTTTCTCTATATTTTTGTTGAATTGTTTTAGTGAAGAATGATGAAACACAACGTTCTTTTCTTGATTGCATAAAAAACAATTTACTTGCTCTAATTAAATTTCTATACATATGAAGATTTTTAATTGTTGTTGTCATTTTTATTCTTTTATAATATATATACTATATTTATATAGAAATATTTAAATTGAGATGTATTTATAAGTATTATAATTATCTAAAAAACGAAAAATAATTTAATTTTTTTTTTTTATTTTTTTTTTTTAATTTGTTTTTTTTTAATTTTTTTTTTATTTTTTATTTTTTTTTCATATTCAATTTTTTTTAATAAACATCACAATTACATATTTTTTCAAAAATAAATAAATAATTAAAAATGTTTAGATCAATTTTAAAATTAAATAGAAACAGTTTAAATAGTATTAGATTATTTTCATCATCAACTAATGGTGGAAAATTTACTATTTCAAGCAATGTAGATAAAATACCAAATAATGAAATTTCAAATGTTGAAAAATTAAGAAAGAAATTACTATATCAAAGTAAAGAAAGAGGAATGTTAGAGAACGATTTATTATTAGGTAGTTTTGCAACCAACAATATTCAAAAATTAACAGAACAACAATTAAAAGATTATGATTTATTATTACAACAACCAGACCCAGATATTTTCAATTGGATTTTAAACAAAACTGTTATACCAGACGAATTCGAAACTGAAGTTTTAAAAATGATCCAACACCACTGCCAAAATGACCCATTAGGCTATACAAGAAAATAAACAATTATTTTTAATAAAACAACAACACCATAAAATTAAATTAAATAAAATGAAACAAAATTTTGTAAATAAATATAAATAAATATAAATAAATATAAATAAATTAATTTAATATTTATATAACTATAATATATATAAATTTCTTTTTTTTCTTTTTTTTCTTTTTTTTATTTCTATTTTATTTTTAAAAATTTACAATTTGGTTTATTTATTTTTTATCATTGTTTTGGGTTCTATAATCTACATTTGGATCATCTTCTGCAAAATTATTAAAACTTTTATTTAATGCAACTGTACCATGTGCGAATGCTCCTGCTAATGTAATTGAAAAGAGAGTCCATTGAATCTTTGGTCTTACTGGTATAAATTTAATCATTGCAAGTACTGGACCGGCCCACTGCAAAAAACATATGAAATTAGTAAAAAATCACCACAAACATATCCATTATAAATAAAACTTACAAGAAGCTCTAAAAAATCGAAATTTGCGCCCTTTCTCTCTCTTTTGATGGAGGTTTCATGTTGGACTGGATTGTAACCATTGCTGTCATTATTATTGTTAACTTGCATTTTATTTTAATTATTTTAAAAATTTAAAATTAATTTTAAACATAAACCAAAAAATAATAAAATAAATAAATAATTATAAATATATAAATAAATAATTGGAATGAATATTAAATTAAATTAATCTAAAAAAACAAAAAATAAAATAAATAAAAAATAAAATTATATAAAAAAAAAAAAGTTTTTTTAAAAAAAAAAAAAAAAAAAAACGAAATAAGTTAATTTCCATTAATTTTCGTGATAAAACAGAAACATTTAAAAGATATTATTCGATTTTCTTCTTTTACTTTTTTTATTTATTTTTTCATTTAATAGAACACAAGTTCTTTTCTAAAAAATAAAATTATAATTCTTTAATTTATTTTGATTTATTTTTAATTTTTTTGGTAAAATGACAAAATAGAATTTAAAATAGTATAGATTATTGATATATTATTAATGTTATTGATATTTGATACTATATTAAAAATATTGTATTTTGAAATATTGTTTTTTGATAATTTTAAAAAGTAATGTTTTTCAAATTGTTCAATATAGTGTGTTAAATTATTTTTGAATGATGGTAAATCTATTAAAGAGAAATCGATGTTGTTGAAAAATGAGGTTATTGAATCTTTTTTAAATGTTTTAAAGTTATTTAATAAATATATAATGGTATTGATAAATAATTGGGCTTTTAAACTGAAATAATCCAATTTTAATATTTGATTTAAAAAACTAGTTGAACTAGTTTGAATTATTTGTTGAGAGATTAGGTCTAAATTATCTGTAAGAAAGTCCAAGTCGTATTTGTAGAGAAGATAGAGTACTTTGGGATGCTTCATTGACAGTATACTCCTGATAAAAGAAACCAGATAGGTCTTTTTGAAAATAACTTTGGAGGGTTTTCTTTTTGATTTTAATACCGCTTTAATTATTTTATAATTATCTGTGGACAATAACTTTATAACTAGTTTTGAAAATATTTTAAAATTGTTAGATTCATAATGAATTTGGGTAGCAGAACAGGTGGTAAGTGAATCGATGCTTAAAAACTGCTTTAACAAGAGCACATCTTTGTCTAATAATACTTTGCAATCGGATAATAGAACATTGTTTTTTTCTTGATACAAATATAAAAACCTATGATACATTTTGGAAATTTTTCTTTTTTTTAATTCTGTAACATAATTTTCATCTGAATAAACATTTAAGCTGTTGTAATATAAATATTGTTTCTGTATATAGCCTCTTTCTAAAAAATATTGAAATAATTCAAAATTTAAGATTTCATCTGAAAAGTCTAATGAGTCTGGGAAGAGTGGAGCTAAATATTTGACAAGATCGAAGTAACCATTTCTAGCGGCATTATATAGTATTGGCATTCCGCTATTGTTTTCTTTAGAGTAGCAAAAATAAACTTTATAGAGATGATCTTTTGGAAGATTATAATAAATTTTAGCGGTCTCTATGTCACCAAAGAATGCATTTATTGGGTAATATTCTTGTAATTCTGAGCGTGATGGTTTTACTACCCACTCACTATTTACATCGTAAAGTAAATACTTCACAATTTGATGTTTTGAGTCGAATAAACAAACCGGTATTGTTATTTTGGTTTTTATTGAGATAAAATAATTTAAAATATATTTTAAATAGTCCAAATCGTGTAGGTCACAACCTGCATGCTTTAATATTCCTTTGAAATGGATATCTTTGATTTGATCGGCCATATTATTCTCCACTAAATATTTAAACTCTTTAAAAGATGGTCTGAAATAGTAATTGATTGCTTTTATTATTATTTCCCCCTCCAATTCCCCAAAATATTTTTTTGAGGGTCCCAAGATTAATTGGTTGGCTTTGTTAAGGTTCTGAAAAATATTTTGGTATAGTTTGAGGCTACTGATTGGTAATTTTTGTGGGGGTGGGTGTAATTTGCTGAACTTTTCAAAATAGAGATTTAGCAAATCAAACTCTATCAATATTTCCAATATATCATCGTTTATATTTCTAAATAAAAAACTTAGTAGAAGAATATCACCCTCTTTCATCTTTAAATCATTTGAAAGAAAATACCTAAAACAATTGTAATGATCACTTTTTATCGTTTTCTCGAGTAAATAGTAGCTCCATGGCCTCGCATAATAGCTACCATTTTGATATAATTGGTAATCTTGATAAATTCCTTTATAAATTTCTACATTGTCATCACACTCTATACCTCTGTCTAGGTCGGTTATGAAAACCTTTTTTCCTATACCACCTGTTTCATCATTTATAGTGTAGTTTTTTAAATAATTGAATATCTGTATATTGCCTGATTGCGCTGCGTCTGATAATAAGCCTTCGGACATATCAATAAAGTTTTGATGGAAATGAGTAAAAAATAATTTAAACCTTTCGAATCCTAGAGGTCTATATCTGAGTAGTTCCTGTAAGTCTTGTTTATCTTTGATTTGAATATTACAATACCAATACCGCAATGGTTCATGAACTGCAACGTTAAAATAAAATTGAAATACATAATCTATCAAGTCATGTTTTTTAGTTTTTATTAAATTTTCGATTTTGATATCTTTAATATTAAATGATTCTGAAATATCATTATAAATCCAATAGTTATAATTATTTTGACCCCAATCTTTATATTTTAAAAAAAATTTAATTTTTTTAAATATTACAATATTATTAAAACACTTTTTATATAATATATAGTTTAAATCATTATTATTATTATTATCATTAATATTGTGACTATTCATATTTTTCTTTTTTAAAAAATAAATAAATTTTTTAAATTAAAAAAATAAAAATAATGGTGAAAAAAAAAATAAAAAATTTTTGAGAAAAAGACATTAAAAGATAATAATAATTTCATTTAAAATTAATTGGATTTTAAATTAAATCCAAGAAATGCCTTAAATTATTTTACACTCAAAATAGACAATGATAATCGTCATCAATCAAAATTTTACTAATGTTATTTTATTTTTTATTTTTTAATAAATAAAAAATAAAAAATAAAAAATAAAAAATAAAAATATATAAACATTATCATTATATTTATTTATTTAAATAACTTTTATTTATAATTATTTTTAAAAGTAATAAAAAAATAAAAAATAAAAAAAATAAAAAATAAAGGGGGTTATAAAAATTGGTAATTTATTATTTTTAATATTTTAATTATAGTTTTATCAAAACTAAAAAAAAAAAAAAAAAAAAAAAAAACATAAAAGAAAGCCGATTTTGTTTTACATATTATAATTTTAAAATATAAATAAATAAAATAATAACATTGTCCAATCAAAAATTATAAAAAATGTGTCATTTTCAATTAATATTTAATATTAATAATTTTTTTTTTTTTTTTTTTGATTTTTTGCCAATTGTTATGATAAAATTATTATTTTGATGATTTATATTTCTTATAAATCTAAATAACCAATCAAAAAAAAAAAGGTATCTTAATAACTTTTTGATCAATACCCACTTTTAATTAAACTGACAAATGTTATTTTTATTTTATTTTTTATAATTTTTTTTTTTGATTCTTTTTCATTTATTATTTTATTATTATTTTTTATTTTTCAAATAAAAATAAATTATTTAGTCTTATTTTTTATTTTATTTTAAATCTAAATATTTGATTATTTTTTATTTTTATTTTTATTTTTTCTAACAGTATAAATAGGATAAAAAATTAGTTTTAATTGTCATTTTATAAATTAACAAATAACACTAATTACAACAATGTATCTTTTAATATCCCTTATATTATTATCTTTTTTAAATGTTTCCTTTTCGCAAAAAGTTGGTAAATTCAGTCCTGAGGTCCATCCACCTATAACTTGGCAAGAGTGTGCTGACGATGGATCATGCAAAACTATGAACGGTGAAATTGTCATTGATGCTAACTGGAGATGGGTTCATTCTGAACAAGGTACAAATTGCTATACAGGTAACACTTGGAATCCAACATTATGTCCAGATGATAAAACCTGTGCTGAAAACTGCTATCTTGATGGTGCCAACTATGAAAGTGTCTATGGTATTACTACTGAGGATGACTCGGTGCGTCTTAACTTTATCACCCAAAGTCAAGGTAAAAACATTGGATCTCGTACATTCCTTATGGCAAATTCCACAAACTACCAAATGTTTTATGTTTTAGGTCAAGAGTTTAGCTTTGATGTTGATGTTTCAAACTTGGACTGTGGTCTTAATGGTGCTCTTTACCTTGTATCAATGGATAGTGATGGTGGTATTGCTCGTTTCCCATCTAATGAAGCAGGTGCCCAATATGGTACTGGTTATTGTGATGCTCAATGTCCAAGAGACCTTAAATTTATTAGTGGTTCTGTAAGTTATAACAACACAAAAGATTTGATATTAATTTTTGAAAAACCTAATTACTAACTTGATTATTATTAAACTTCATATTTAAATAGGCTAATGTTGAAGGTTGGATTCCATCAAGTAACAATCCAAACACTGGTTACGGTAACCACGGTTCTTGTTGTGCTGAAATGGATCTCTGGGAAGCCAACAATATGGCCACCGCTTTAACTCCACATCCATGTGATACCTCTAGTCAAACCGTTTGTGAATCTGATAGTTGTGGTGGTGCTACTTCATCCAATAGATATGGTGGATTATGCGATCCAGATGGTTGCGATTATAATCCATATCGTATGGGTAATACTACTTTCTTTGGTCCAGGTCAAACTGTTGATACTAAATCTGTTATGACTGTTGTTACCCAATTCATCACCAATGATGGTACTACCACTGGTACTTTGAAATCAATTAAAAGACTTTACGTCCAAAACGGTCAAGTTATTTCCCAATCCGAATCCACCGTTCCAGGTGTTGCCGGTAATGAAATTACTGAAGATTTCTGTCACAATCAAAAACAAGTATTTGGTGACAAAGATTCCTTCACTAAACATGGTGGTCTTGCTGCAATGGGTGATGCTTTGAAGAATGGTATGGTTCTTGTTCTTAGTCTTTGGGATGATTATTTAGCTGATATGTTATGGCTCGATAGTAACTACCCAACTACTTCACCAGTCACCGAACCAGGTGTTGCTCGTGGTCCATGCTCAACCTCATCTGGTACTCCAACTGATGTTGAATCTAAATATCCAAATGCATACGTTGTTTATTCAAACATTAAAGTTGGTCCAATTAATTCAACTTTTAAAAATAACTAAAAGAAAAAAAAAAAAAAAAAAATTAATATTTTTCCTTTTTTTTTTTAACAAATAGTTTTATTTCTTTCTTACTTATATCTATATTTATTATCATCATTATTTAAAAAACTAAATAAAGAATATCTTTTTTTTTACATATTGATTATTTAAATTAATATTATATTTGCCTTTTGCATCAAATAATTATTTTAACAATTAAAATTAAAAAAAAATCAAAAAAAAAATCAAAAAAATAAAAAAATTTTTTTTTATTTTTTTTATTTTTTTTTAAAGTATTCAAAGTAATCAAAGAAATATTTAGAAAAATAATTTCTCTATTTATTAATTAATTATTTATGTATATATATCATTTTTTTCTTTTTTTTATAATAAATTTTTTTTTCGAAATCGAAGGTGTTTGGGGGAATATCGAAATTTAAAAATTAAAAGGTTTCATATTTGCATTTTTTTGATTCAATTATTATAAAAAAAATTGATAAACACCAAATAAAAAAAAATTTTTGATAAAGTATAAAACTCTAAATGTCGTTTTTTTAGCAACATAATAATTTTATGCAAAAAATTTAAAATTTTAAATTTTTTTTTCTTAAATTTTTCTAAAATTCGACGAAAGCACAGATTGGTGTTAATTGGCCTGGTAGGAAATATTTAAACCATATCAAGAGGCAGCTATACCTTTTTTTTTCATCAATACCTAAATATTTAACAAAATAAAAAAAAATAAAAAAAAATAAAATTAAAAAATAGATTTTTAGGCAGTTAACTATAAATAAATTTTTTTAAATTTTTTTTTCATTCATTATTCATAACTGTTATAAAAATAACTTTTTAATTAATAAATAATTATTAAATATTCATATTAATAATAATATTATTACTTTTTATAACAAATATTTTTTTTTATATATATATATTCATCTTACACCCAAAAATAAATTGTAATACTTTATCTATATACTATTATTAATATTAAATATTAAAAAAATATATTAATTAATAATTTAATTAATTTTTAATATATTTTAATCTTTTTGTATAATAAATAAATAAATTAATAAATAAATTATTAAATAAATATATAAATATATAAATAAATAAAATGGTTAATATAGAATTAGAAATGGCTGGATCAGGATCAGGCTCATCAAGTGGCGACACTACCCCAAAAAGAAATTCATCAGAATTATCATCACCAAAGATACCATCAAGTCACAGTGATTACAGCTTAGCAGATAATGGCTATGGCGAACTTTCAATTTCCCAAGTTGTTATTAGAAGTGATTTCTTCAATGAATCTGCTGAAAAACAATCAAGAATTATTTTAGATAGATTCAATGAAGGTATTGGTAAAAACTCTGCTTTCACAGATTCACCAGCTCTTGGTCGTGGTCTTAGTCGTGTTGATATTAGTTATTTTGTTTTAGGTCATAGAAATCAAGTTGCTGTATGTATAATAACCAAATAAATAATATATTTTTTATTTACGTTAATATTAATATAAAAAACTCTTAATTATAGGAACTTTTTGATCCAAGAGGTCAACGTTTCAGTACTGTTTTATCAGCTGATCCAACTGTTACAATTAAATATATTGGCCCAGTTTCAAAAACTGCAAATTATTATGGTGCTTATGGTAAACACGTATTAAATGTACCAGCTGGTTATTATGCTAAAGCTCTTTCAAAGAATAGACCAGTTATTTATGGTGAAGGTCCACATGTTATCATCGATCCAACATTCCAATTTGATGAAAGAACAGGTTTCGTTAACCAGCAAGAACCATTTGTTTCTCATTCAACTATTCATATTTTAAGGTAAGCACAGTTTTTTTTAAAAATAAAAAAGTTTAAAATTCAAAATATTAATATCATTTATAATTTAATTTAGAATTCCAGCAGGTAAAATTGCAAAGGTTTGGGTTGGTACTCAACCAAAAATTTTAGAATCACGTCGTGAACCATATATATTTGATGATCCACAATTTAAATTAGTTGCTCCAGAGGGTGCTGTTAAAGCTTCACTCTTCCTCAATTCATCAGATACTTTTATCGAACATGGTTCAATCAAACGTATCATTCCACATACTGGTGAAGTTGCAATCACCTATAATAATGGTATCCTTACAATTATCTCACCACCAAAAGATGGCAAACCAGTTTTCATCGATTCCCCAACCCACAATTTCGAAGGTTTCATCAGTACTAGCCTCCAAACTTGTCTTTTCCCATCAAAAGAAACTAAACATCAAAGTTTATTAGACAACAAATCTGCAACTTCAGATGAAATTAACCTCAAGATTTTCCAAACTCGTGATTCACTTCGTGTTGGTGTTGTATTAGTTGTTGCTTTCAAAATTGTTGACCCAGAACTTGCCATCACTAAATTAGGAAAAGAAGGTATTATCAATCATATTGAAAATGTTTCATTTGCAGATATGGGTAAATCAATTCAATTAAGTACTCTCCAAGAGGTTATGTACTTTAACCAAACCAAACCAGGTGGTCCAATCGATGACAATGTTCAAACCATCCAAGATCGTGTTAAAGGTAATCTTGCTCGTGATTTATTAGAATTTGGTGTTGAACTCCAACGTCTTCAAATCGAAACCATGAAGGTTTTAGATACTGAAATCGCCAAGAAATTAGCAGGTCAATCCGTCACCTCAGCCGAATACACAACCAAACAAGCAACCTTAGTCAAAGAGTACGACATTAAAACCACTGAAGCTCGTCTTAAAGCTGAAACCGATAACATTGCTTTAGCCCAAAAGAATCAAGCCGTCATTGCCGAATCACAAGCTAAACTTCAATCTGCCCAAAAAGAAGCTGAAGCTTTACTCATTGCCGCCGATGCTCAAAGAAAAGCTCAGGAAATGCAAGGTGAACTATTCACTAAATATCCAATTCTTGCAGAAATTGAATTAGCTAAAATCAAAGCCCAAGCTCTCAAAGGTGCCACCCTTTATATTACCCCACAAGATGCAGGAAATTTCATGAACTCACCATTAGTTTATGTTGATCAATTAATGAACAAACAACAAATTACAAAGAAATAATATAGCTCTCTATCAACCAATGTTTTTAATTTTAATATATTTCATTCTTTTTAATAAAAAAACAAAGTATATTACTATTGATTATTATTCATCAAAGAATTTTAATTAAAAAAAGAAACAAAAAAGAAACAAAAAAGAAAAAAAAAAAAAAGAAAAAAAAAGAAAAAAAAGAAATCTGTTTTAATAATCACAAATCAATTTATTTAGTAAAACTTAAATAAAATATAATAAAAAAAACTAATATTTAGTTTTTTCTTGTACAATAAAATTCTAACGTCATTTTTTTTTCTTTCTTTTTCAAAAGCGATTTTTGGTGTTGCATTAGGTCATTATTTTTATTTATTGTTTGTTTTTGGTGTTTTTTGTACTTGCATTAGTCTACAACAGTGCATATAAGTTGGGCAAAGTAAGGTCAATTCGTATGTGATTCTTTTTTCTCCACCATATCTTTTCAACCCAGCACCGGGAAGATAAGAGGCACTCCTTCCCCCATATGGGTTCCAAAAAAAGAATTCGCCCAAAGGGGGGCTCGAACCCCCGACCACAAGGTTAAAAGCCTTGCGCTCTACCGACTGAGCTATCTGGGCAATTTATATAAAATTAATTATATCACCCACCTAGGTCGTTTAAAAAATTTTAATAAAAAATTTAGGAACAAAAATGGCACAGAAGAAACAAAAATAACCATGAACACTTAACCTATGATTAAAAAAAATGAAAGAGAGCTCTAGCTGATCTGCATAACAACAAGGGAAAGAGATATTATATAATGTTTTTATGATCCACACAGTTAATAAAGCTCTCAACCGAACTATAGGATTGCGGCTTATTCAAGAATAAAATCGAATAAAGGAAAAAAAAAAAAAATCATTTCGATTAAAAAATTATTGTTTTAAAAATTTTAATTGTTTGTTATTTATTTATGTATATTATAAAGTATTGTTGTTTTATAAATTTATTTTTGAATTCTTTTAAATAAAATTTATATAAGAAGCAGGTTTCAATGGTTTCTGGAGACATACTACCTCTATCTGGAGTAACAAGATCTGGACAATAAATAACATTTTAAAGGTAAATTTAAAAAAATATTTAAAATTAATTATTTAACGAATAAATAGATAATTGTATTTTTAATTATTTTTCATAATTTCATTTAACTTCTATTTAACAATAAAATATATAGTGTGTAAGATTATTTTTTTTTTATTTTTTTTATCATTGTCATTAAGTTATATATATAATAATATTATTATTTTTTTTTTTTTTTTTTTTTTTAATTTAATAAAAGTGGTGGTAACCTTTGTCCATTCTAATTGAATGTTTAGGAAAAAAACCTTTGGTTAATGATTAAAAGTAGTTATACTTGGTTTTGTTAGTAAATACTACTTAAACCCACCCTTTTAAAAATTTCAGCCCCTTTCTAATCTTTTCATCATCGGTTTTCCTAATGAATTCTCTTTTCGTCCTCAATTCTTTTCTCCTCTTCATAAGCTTTCATTTGAAAGTGGCAACTCTTCTTCATTTATTGTTGGAATTAATGGATCATTTGTTTCTTCATCCATGTTGGATGTAGTAATTGCTCTTCTGTTATATGTAACAAAACAAATTTAATAATTTTACATTAAAACTTAAAACTATCGTATAAATAAATTAAGTCTCTTTACAAATATTAGACTATAATTATCAATATTATTACTGTGAGTAAAAATATGATTATCGTGATTTTTTTGCCTTTCAATTTAAAAATTTAATTTTAAAAAAATTTTATTATGAAATGTTATTAATAGTTATAATTAATCATATGTTAGATTTAGAGATATTCAATATCCAGTCAAGCTTCTAAAGATACAGAAATTGTAACATTTGGTGCTTCAGCATTTCTTCCTCATCCGGTGCATCAAGAAGATCTGCTGTGGAAAATTTTTCAGTAGGAAGTGGATTTTTAAAGATGGTTTGTGGTGGCTTTGGGAATACTTCCTCATCCGGTGCATCAAGAAGATCTATTATTGAAATACAAATAATAACGGAAGAGAAATAGAAATTTCTTTTGGTTTGTTTTGTAGAATCTCTTTCTTCTTGTAACTTTGTAAACCAGGCCTATTCTTCACTGTTCATATCTAGATTTGTTTCGTTTGTGCCATATTTCACACAAGAATGATAGCATAACAGATTAAGCACTTCTAAGATGGTTCTTCTTTCAAGAAAATAATAATAGTAATAATAATAATAAAAATTTAGACTAAAATGTAAATGTGAAGGATACATTTCAGTTTATTTTTTTATTTGTTTGTTTGGTGAAAAAATAAATTTTATATAAAAAAAAAAAAAAATTTCATTTAAATATAAAAAATTTTTAATAAAAAAATAAAAAAAAAAAATTTATAAAATTTAATATTTTCAAATTACAAAATCTTGAGCCAACAGGAATTTTTTCTAAAATTTTTAATCAATCTTTTCGAATCTAAATATTTTGTAAAACAGTAACACCTATTTTTATAAAAATAGATTATTTTGTAATTTGTAAAATAATAATCAACACATGCACCAAATACTATTTAAAAAGATACAGTTACAATTTAAATTATAAACCTAAAAACTTTAAATTTTATTTTATTTTATTTCTTTAATATTATATTGATTAATATTTTGATTTTATTTCATCCAGTAAATAGAAATCACAATAGTATTTTAAACAACCATTGGTTTCACCCCTATAATAAGTTAAATTATAACCATTTATGCATACTGGCTTGACGACTGTTAAACAAACACCCAAAGGGATACAACACTTTTGATGCAAACATCTGTCACCATCTCTAACATAAAAAGGAAATTGTCTATAAGGGCAATATGGGATTTCTTTACTACTTGATGTATCTTGACAAGTTCGGTATGGATCGGGAGCATGTATAAAAGCATTAACAACTTGAAAAGAGTCTTCTGTTTTTCCTTCGCTATAATACCCTTGAACTAGTAATCTTTGATTTTCAGTATCAAATAGTTTCTTATTAAACCACTTGTCATCAAAACCTGGTATCGAATTTGAGTTATAATTGTCCATTATTATTTTCTCGCTTATCACTTGAGTTGATTTGAAAGTGTTTAGCTCTATTAAATTAATTGAATATTTATTACACCCTATACTATCTCTATTAAAGCTAATGATAGAATGCCTATTATTATTGTTTTCGCATGTTTTTATTAAATAATAATATTTTAATGGTGTATTTTTGAATTGATCTATAAAATCATTATTTTTTTGATACAAATAGTGATAAAATCTAACAATATTAAATTTATGATTATTATTGTATTTCGACTCCACAATATTCCCATATAAAATTATTTTATAGAAACTGCTATTGGTGTTATTATTAATATCCATATCTAATAATTGTTGTTTTATTTTTATTCTTGATGAAGCTAATTGGAATGACGATATCATTATTTTAATTGTCTCATTATTATTTTTATTGACTAGGTTATTTTGACCATAATTTAATGGTATAATATTAAACTCTTTATTATTTAATTTTATTAATCCATAATAATATATTTGTTCCCTATAAAAAGCCTCTATAAAACAATTATTTAATAATAAAATAAGAAAAAATATGGTATGTACTATTTTAATTGTCATTTTATTTATAAATCTAATGAAAAATATATATATATATATATATGAAAATTAAAAAAAATATAAATACCCACACAGCATACTTATTTTTATTAGTAAAAAAAAATATAAAAAAATTTGAAATAATTAAAAAAAAAAATTATAATCAAATGAAAAATTATATATAACATTATTACCCCACTACTTTTATTTGGGGGAATCTTTTATACTTTGTTTTTTTTTTTTTTTTAAAAAAAATATATTATTTTTTATTATTTATATTTTATAAAAAAAAATTAAATTTACATTTATATTTGTTTTGTTTTGATTTTTGGTTTTTTTTTTTTTTTTTTTTTTTTAATTTATATTATTATTATTTAATTAAATTATTTAGTCATTTTTGGTGAAGTTGAAGCTTGATCATTTTTTTTTAAAATAACAATACCTTCTAAAATATTAGTTAATGGAATATAATCTTCGGTGGCTAATTCTGCACGTTCATTATAACCAAGTAAAACTGGGGTGGTATGAGTTTGGAAACCGGTAATAGTCTTTGGTTTACCAGCAAGACCAACAGTATCGACACTTTGACCAACACGAACACTAACTGGTAATGGTTTAAGGTCTTCATCAACAGTCATTAACATACGTGGATTCATTGAACAAACTAAAGAGAAGAATAAATAATGTGATTGAGTGGAAAGAATATTTTTGATATCTAAAGCGGCATGTAAAAGGGCTAAAAGACCACCAGCAGCAACTGGTGACATTAATGAACGATCTGAATGGTATGGATTGATAGTCATGGTACCTTTACCCATATGTAAGAGACCTTGAGCGATACGAACAAAGAATAAATGGACATCTTTAGCATAAAATACAGCTAAAGCTCTTAACATACCACCAATACGAGCGTTATTTGTACCAGCACCAATTAAACCTAAAGCGAGGATTGCACCTTGAGCAACTTCATTGTCATTGTCGTGTGATAATTTACTTAAAATATCCATGATGGCAATACGTGGATTTGATGGTGATAAAAGACCTAAAGCTAATGGGATAGCTCTTTTAATGTGAACATTACCCTTTTGAAGGAGATGATCAAACATACGGAGACACATATCTGAACCTAATTCTTCACCCATGGCAATCAAAGCGATTGAAAGGACGGCAAGACCGTGGTGTGGGTTTTCAGTGCCATCGCTACAGAAATGGAGCATATTTTGAACTTTTAATACATTACCAGTACCAGCATAGGCACAAGCTTCAACAGTAAGACGAGCATATTCACCACCTTTACCTTCAATAGCTTTGAGGGTTTCAAGAGCTAATTCTGCAGCGTCTTGTTTACCAAGATATAAAAGACCAAGACCTAAATGAAGGAAACGGGAATGTGATTCGGAGGCAGCGGTACCTCTTGTAATAAGAGTTTGAACAAAAAGAGTTGAAAGCTCTGGATCGCAACTGCCAATGAAAATTAAACCTAAAGCTAAACCGACAACACCAATGAATTCCATTTTTTCTTTGTCATCATCAAGACATGGTGATAAGAGAGCCATTAAATCTTGTCTTTGAGTACCAGCATAAGCTAAACCTAAACCAAAGATGGCAGAGATACGAGTATTTGTATTTGGTGATTTAATGTGTTCGGCTAATAAGGAAAGGGCTGGATCCATATCTGAACGAATACCACAAGCAAGCATACCAATAGCCATAAGAGCACCATTACTACAGTGCTTTTCTTGGGAGTAAAGGAATTTATCAATCTTTGTTAAACCACCATCAATATCCCAAAGTACTACCATACCAGTAGAAGCGACAGTTGATAAGATACCTAATTCTCTATTCTTGAACCACCATTTTGTATCTTCTTCAGCAGTCATTAATTTATCTTTACCAAAACCAGCATTAACAAATGCATTAACAAATGATGAAGCTAAATTCATTCTGGCAGAATCTGCGACAACAGATGTTGAATCTAAATGTGATTGGAAAATTTCTTCTGGTAATTTTGGTTCTCTAATATCGAGATCAGTTGCTAAATTTAAAAAGTATTCACTTAATTTAATATTATTAATAATATCAGAAACTGTGTCATAATTAAAGTTTTCTGGTACAATTCTTTGTCTTGCTGCTAAAAATGATAATTGTTGTAACATAGATTGATTACTAAAGTAAATAAATAAGAAAATTAATATTATTGTGTTTCAATCATAAAATTTAATTTTAAATTAAAGTACTTACTCTTCAACAGATTTGAAAATGGAGGTAATTAACTCTTGATCAGAGATTTTCATTGCAACACGTAAAGCTTCTGGGTATTGTTTCATTTTAAGGTAGATTTCAATGCATACTCTTAAGATGTTGACATCATCTGGACCTGGAACATAATATGAACATTTGAAGAGATATAAACAAACACGTTGATAATTGTTTTCATCGATATAATTAAAGATTTTGGTTAATTGTTCAACTTCGAGTAAGAGATCACAAGCTTCTGGTTCGGCATTATGTGTCATTTGGAATGGGACAATTTCATCGACTAATTTGAGTAAATCTTCAACTGATTGACTTTCTTCTTTTCTGATATCATATTCTACACCAATTTCTGTGGCTAAATGTCTAACATACTCGTGACCCCATGCAGCAATAGCTTCTCCTGATCCTAATAATTTATATTTAAGTGTATCTCTTTCTTCATTACCATTTGCCATAGCAAGTACTGATAAAATATCAGCTAATAAAGTCTATTTATTATATTATAAAAAAAAAAAAACATTTGATTAATATTTAAAAAATTTTTAATCAATAATAATAATAAATAAATAAATAACTTACCTTTGGTTTACCTTCTTTTAAATTGCTATAAATTTCAACTAAAGTTTGATAATGAACTCTTAAGAATTTTAATGGTTTTGGTACAGAAGTCATTGATGAAGTTGATGATCTAATTTCGGATTTTAAGGCCTCTAATGAAGCTAAAACAATTTCAGAATTTTCATCTTTAACTCTTTCAACTAACATTTCTAAATCATTCTTTAATTTTTCATCTTCTGGTGATAAGGTATCTTCTTTTTTATCTTTCTTTTTTTGATCTTTTTTTGGTTGTTGTGTTGATGTGGTATTTTCTTTATCTTTGTCATCTTCTGGTTTTTTATTATCTTTTGATGGTACTGCAATTTTAGCTACTTCTCTTTCTGGCATTTTTTAATATATGTATATATAAATTATTTATTGGAAATAAATAATAATAATAAAAAAAATAAAAATAACAATAAATAAATAATAATAAAAAAAAAAATTATATAATATTTAAATTAAAAAATATTATAAATATAAATAAATTTTTAATATGTGATTGATGTTCACTATATGGAATATTAAATAGTGAAGTTGTTGATGTGCTGAAAAAATTAATAAAAATTAAAAAAAAAAAATTTTAAAAAAATTAAAAAAAAAAAATAAAAAAAATTTTAAAAAAAAAAATAAAAGAAAATATTATTAAATTAAATTAAATAATTTAATAAAAAAAAAAAAAAAAAGAAAAAAGATAAAAAGTTAAAATTCAATTTACACCCCACAAAAACACACACACAACAATTATTCATTTAAAAAATAAAAACAATCATTTTAATGTGAAGTTCTATTTAAATATTTATTTTAAATCTTTAATATAAATATTTGATTTTTAATAATTATTAATTTCAAATGAATAAAATGTGTAAAGATGAGTGTTTTCAACAAATAATTCAATTTATTGTTATTTTTAGATCTTGAGAAAAATGCAAAAAAAAAAAAAAAAAAAAAAAAAAAAAGATCAATTGAAAAAATAATGATATAATGATATTTTTTGAAATAATTGAGAGAGATAATAAATTGAAAAATAAAAAAATAAAAATAAAAAATAATGAAGATAGTAATAAAATTTCTTTTTTCAAATAAATATTTTTTTAATTTATTTATTCGGATTTGTTGGCTAAAACAGCTGAATGTTCTTGATATGGAGTCTTGGTGAGTTCAGTGTGTTTCCAGAGATCTGGGGTAAGGTAAGCATAGGTCTTGGTGATGGCGAAGAAAGTGGCCATGACAAAGTTACCCATGGTTCTGGTTTTACCACGTGATGAGGTGTAAACATCATCAACACCAGCGTATTGGAGTAATTTCTTTGGAACACGAGCAGCAACGATACCAGTACCTCTTGGGGCTGGGACGAGTCTGACAGCGACTGAACCGCATTTACCGGTAACTTTGGTTGGGACAGTGTGTGGAGCACCGATTTTGTTACCCCAATAACCTCTACGGACTGGGATGACTGAAAGTTTGGCGGCAACGATGGCACCTGAGATAGCGGTGGCAACTTCTTTAGCGCATTTAACACCAAGACCGACATGACCGTTGTGATCACCAACAACAACGAAAGCCTTGAAACGGGTACGTTGACCAGCACGAGTTTGCTTTTGAACTGGGACGATCTTCATAACTTCGTCTTTAAGGTTAAGGAATTTATCGATGATTTGGAATTCCTTGATTGGGAGGGAGAAAAGATAGATTTCGTGGATGTTTTTAATTAAACCGCTAGCAACGAGACGACCTAATTTAGTAACTGGGGTCCAATCTTTTGATTCACCAGCACCTCTTTGTGGACGACCACCTCTTTGTGGGGCAGCACCTCTTTGTGGACGACCGAATGATCTTTTTTGATCGGCGGATGGAGCAGCAGTAGTTTGTTGGGTATCAGCCATTGCTATAAAAAAAAAAGAAAAAATATTAATATATTTTTATATATTATTTTATTTTTTCTATCTGTATCTATATCTATATCATCATATTTTTTTTTTTTTTTTTTTTTCTCTATCTCTGCATATTCTTTATGGATAATGATAAATTTGATGGATTTGATAAAGATTGATGATATATCCAATGGATAAAGATAGATAATAAAAGATACACGTACATCTCTTTATATGTATTCTCTTATAAAGTTACATTTTCTAAAATGATTTTTTTCTTTTTTACGCTGCGACACGGTAAGCGACAAAAAAAAAATTTTAATTTTTTAATTTTTTTTTTTTTAATTTTTTTTTTTTTTAAAAAATATAACGTAAATATTAATATGAGAAATAATTATGATTCAAAAGCAAAAAAATAAAAATAAAAAAAAAGAGAAAAAAAAAAAAAATAAAAAAAAGAAAGAAATCTATTTTGTATATGTTTAAAATTATTATTTAAAAAAAATTTAAACAGTGTTTAATTTTATCACAAAAAAAAAAAAAGTTTTGTGGGAACCCCCAAAATTTTCTTATATTATAAAATAGTGAGTTTTAGTGGAAAAGGAAAAGGGTATTTATTTTTGTATTGCTATATTGCCATATTATTACATTAGCATTGTCTCATTATTCTTTGATTATTTCATTTCCAATTTTATGAGTATATATATTTTTTTTATTGAAACTATAATATTTTATAATATCTTATATTTTATATTATATAATATTTTATTATATTATATTGTTTTACACTATTTATTAAATGGGTTTATTAAATTGAATATTAAAAATCAGGTTATGGTTTTAAATGTTTATTACACATTTGATGAAATAATGAAAATTAAAAGTTTTAAATAAATAATGAGTTGTTTTTTTTTTTTTTTTAATTTAATTTTTTTTATAATTTTTTTTTTTAATTTATTTTTTTAATTTTTTTTTTTTAATTTTTTTTTAATTTTTTTAAATTATTTTGAACATACCAAAATTTTTTTTTTAATTTTTTTATTTATTTTCAATAATATAATTTTTTTTTTTTTTTGTAAATAATAATATATTTTTTTTTTCCTATATATATAAATAAAAATGATCAACATTGATTTTGATTCACTTGAACAACCAACTTTATTTGACAGTTTAGCAAGTGATGTTAAATATTTAGATAAACCACATTTTGATTTACCACCAAATTCTAATGTACATATCAAAATATTAAATAGTATAATAGGAGTTAACACAAATAAAATAGAATCAAATTAATAATAACCATAATAATCACATCCACTAATAAAATTAAAATTTATATACTAATGATACCTATATTTTATTTTTTAGCCAGGTGACTTTTTAAGAGAAACATTTGCACATCCAAATGCACCAAAACCATTAGAATTTGCACATGGTACTACTACATTAGCATTTGTATATAGTGGTGGTATTGTTGTTGCAGTCGATTCAAAATCTACACAAGGTCCATACGTTGCAAGTAGATCAGTTAAAAAAGTTATTGAAATCACACCAACTTTATTAGGTACCATGGCTGGTGGTGCCGCAGATTGTTCATTCTGGGAACGTGAATTAGGTAGAAGATGTAGATTATATGAATTAAGAAATAAAGAATTAATTTCTGTAGCTGCTGCTTCAAAAATTTTAGCAAATATTGTATATTCATATAAAGGTTATGGTTTATCAATGGGTACTATGATTACTGGTTGGGATAAAACTGTATGCATCAAATAGTTTTAAATATAGACTCAACAACAATAGTAGAAAACAATATAATAATAATAATAATAATTCATTTTACTAATTTTCTTTTTTTTTTTTTTTTTTTTTTTTTTTTTTTTTTTTTTTTATTTTTATTAATTATCAAACTTAAACAATAATATTTAAACAATAACAACAACAATAATAATGTATACAATATTTTAGGGACCACAATTATATTATGTAGATAATGATGGTACTAGATTACATGGTCAAAGATTTTCATGTGGTTCAGGTTCAACTTATGCCTATGGTGTTTTAGATTCTGGTTTCAAATGGGAAATGAACGACGAAGAAGCTTATGAACTTGGTCGTAGAGCTGTTTATCATGCCACACACAGAGATTCTTATTCTGGTGGTGCCATTAATGTTTACCATGTTCAAAGAAATGGTTGGAAGAAAATTTCATCCGATGATTGTTTCGAATTATACAAAAAATATTATAATATTGCTCCAATCAACAAACCAACAAATTAAATTAATAAATTTTTTTGTAATTATCACAACATAACAAATCATCAGTAAAAAAAACAATTTTCCAAAAAACTCTCATATTGTAAAAAAAAATAAAAAAAATAAATAATTTAATTATTATATATACATAATGTATAGAGTATATTAAATATAAAACTATAGTTTTGGTTTGTTATTATATTATATCACCTGCTTCTAAATTATCGATGAATTTTAATTATGTGGCTCCGTAAGGTATTATCTGAATTATTATTATTATCTTTATTATTATTACAATACATATTCAATTAAATGAAGTTTTATTCTGTTCAATACAAATAGATTTCTTTTTTAAATTTCTAATTCAAATTTCAATTATTTTAAAAAAAAAATATAATGTAAAGTGCAGTGCCGTACAAATGTGCTAATGGATGTGTGTGGTTAGTGTTTTAAGGAAATATTAATCATGATTGATTATTTTATTTAATAGTTAATTATTTAACATTTTGCAAAAAGTGAGACATAATATAATATTTAAAATAAAAAGCAGAGGGAAATAATAATTAATTTGTTATACTAACTTTCAAAAGCGAGTATAGTGATTGAAATTGAATAAACCAATGACTAGTATATAGCATTGGTATTAAATGTTTTTTTATTTTTATTTTTTAAAGGATATTAAAGGGAGATAGGGTTTTTAAATTGTTTTAAAATATAATATTATATTTATTAGTTATAATATTTATTTTTATTAGTAGTGTTAAAAAAAAATAAAAAAAAAAATAATATTTTTTGTATTATAATAGAGTTGGGAAAATAAATAAATAAATAAATTTTTTATATTTTTTATATGTTTCTTTTATGTTATTATTGTAATTATTATTATTGTTATTATTATTATTGCTATTGTTATTATTATTATTGCTATTGTTATTATAAATTATTAAGAGGATGGAGTTGAGGATAATGATGGTGGGGCTAGTTTTACGATCCAGTCATGTTTTAGACCTTGTTCTGCACTAATTCTTTCAGATGGTATCCATTTTAAACAATCTAAAATAAAGTTATCAAAATCGTCATCGCCAGATCTAATTAGATCTTTAAGTGGTTTGGTGCCAACGCCATAGATTTCGCCTGTAGTACTATTTTTAACTTGTTTTGGTGTGTAGTCATCTTCGAAAAAGATATCTCTACGAGTGGAATTATCTATAACTTGCTTAGGGGGTGCTCCAAGCACCTCCATAATACATGCAAGTTGTTCTGGTTCGTCAGCACCAGGGAATAATGGTGATCCTGTGAAAATTTCAACTAATATACAACCTAAACTCCAAATATCGATGGATTTATCATATTTGGTTCCTAATATAACTTCGGGTGATCTATAAAATCTTGATTGGATGTATGGGAAAACTTGATAATTAAATAAAAATTATAAGTATATTATCTCTTATTTTAAAACATATAGTTAGGTAGATTGTTACTTACTTTGTTCATTTTCGAAACAACTACTACCAAAATCAATAATTTTAATACCAGATTTGCCTGCTTGTTTTAATAAAATATTTTCGGGTTTTAAATCTGCGTGTATTATATCTCTTTTTGATAAAAATTTAAGTGAAGTTAAAATTTGAGCACCAAACCTCCAAACTAAACTTAAATTGTAACCTTGAAAATGATTGATCTTTAAAAAGTCATAAAGACTCATACTGAGTAGTTCAAATGTTAAGCATAAATGGTTTCTAAAATAAAAATGATTATTTAAATGCACTATATTTGCTGTTGAATTTGGATCCTATAAAAAAAAAGAAAAATATTAATATTTTATAAATTATTTTTTTTTTTACAAAATAATAAAACATACATTGTTCTTTAAATATTCTAAAATTTTAATTTCTGTTAAAGCTTGTTGATGGAATCTCTTTTGGTTACGTAAAATTTTTAAAGCTACAAAGTCACCAATTTTATAATCATAGGCTTTGACTACTTGGCAAAATGAACCCTGACCTAAAATTGAAACAACTTCAAATCTATATGCGATATGGTCATGTTCAACAATTTTGTATTCACCAGTTTCGGTATCAAAACCATTGTTTGGTAATTTCGGATTTGGTTGGATCTTTTTAGTAGTATTACCTGTAAAGAAAATTTGTGGATAATCTAAAATTTCGGCTTGCTCTGCGGCTGTTAATTCATTTATATACAATTTTAATGCAACTGCTGGTGTCATAATTGGTAGTTTATTTGACGCATTGGGCGATGGCGATGGACATTTGTTGGCATTTGATAATGATGGAGATGATTGTTGTACAAGTATTGATGTTAAGTTATTTGATGATGTTAATGGTGGCGATATGAGTGATGATGTTGATAAACTGGTGCTTTCAGAGATACTATGATTGGATGACGATGATGAGGTTGCTTTAGATGCTGATGATGATTTAAATGATGATAATGATTTTGTATCTTTTCTTTCTCTTGGTGTGGTAACTGTTGATTTACTCGTGGATGATAGTGATGGTGTTGGAGTTTTTGAACTTCTAAGAATTTTTGTAAATTTACTTGAGAGTGATTGCTCTTTATCCTTTTCTTTCTCCTTTTCCTTTTCTTTTTCTTTTTGTTGTTCTTTTGATAAGCTTGCTGATACTGATAGCGATCTTGATTTTATTACAGGTTTTGTTACATTGGCCAATCTAGCGAAAACATCATCAATATTTGTTTTGGTTGGTGTTGTGGTTGGTGTCATGGTTGATGGGGTTTTTGGTGTTGTTGGTGGTGTTTGATCTATATTTACATCATTTGATTTGGTTGGGGTTTTTGTAGTAGTGGTTGTTGTACTGCCATTAACTGATGCGTGTGTAGGTGAAAATAATGAACCATTTGAAATTGATACTGATCTTGTTTTCATTGTTGATCTTTGTGAATCTATTGTGTGTGCGCCTGATAGTTTCATTTTTGATAGTGAGGCAGCTGTATGTTTAATTTGTGTATCGTCATTATTTGCTGTTGTGGTAGTGGTGGTAGTGGTAGTTGTGGAGGATGAAGAGGGTGATAATAATACTGATGTTGATGCTGAAATTTGTGATGGTGGTTTAATGTTACTACCTGTTGTTGATTTTCTATATGATGAGTTTGATGTACCACTTAATAATGCTTCTTTTGGTTTTCTAAATTCTGGGTTTCTGCTTGGTCTATCTGGTATTTTTTTAGATGGTGGCGATATAGTATTTGCAGAGGAGGATGAGGTTGTACTGCTTGATAATGAAGATTTAGAGATAATAGGTTCTTCTTTAGAAATACCAGTTTTAAGTATTGATTTAGGTGTGGAGGATGATTTTAAAGGAGAAAGGGGGTTACTGCTGCCACTACCAGTGGTAGATGATGTACCAACTGGAGAGTCATTCTCATTTGCACCCATTGTATAGGCCATGGATGGTAAACAAACACTTCTTCTCGCAGCTGCCTTATTTGACATAGATGATTTTAATTTAGCAATATCATTGTTATGAGAATCAATAATTTGCTTATGAAGTGATGTCATTTTTATTAAAACTATCACTAATTTGTTCTGTTCTATTCTATTATTATGCTATTATATGTGTTTTTATTTTTTATTCTATTATACATGCAAAAAATAAATAAAATGGATAAAAAAAACCTAAAATACAATATGTGTATTCTATATGTATACTATTATTTATTACAGCTGTTACTATTTCATTAATATCGATCTTAATATTTTGTTAAAAGTCGCTTTTTTTATTTTATATAAAAAAAAATTAATATTAGTCACATTAGAATAATTTCTTATATTTTGAAAATAGTATGATTATAAATATAAACAATAATTCGATACTATACCCTTTGTTATTATTGTTATTCTATATTATACTACTACTACTGCTACTACTATTGTTTATATATTATCTGTTATTATTTTTATAGTTATTATAATTTTTATTTATAGTTTTAGTTTAAAATAAATATAAGAAAAACAAAATGTGACGGTAGTAATATATTAGATTTTTGTGTGTATGTGTGCCTGTGTGGGTATATAAATCTATATTTATTATTTATTGAGTACCATATAAATATTTGTTTGTTTGTTTTATTTTATTACCCTAAAATGTGTATATATATATTTATTTTTATTTTTTTATAAAAAAAAATAAAGTTTATTTTCTAATAATCTAAATTGATAATCTATTATATTAAAATGTTTATTATTCTAGTGATAAATATTTTAAAATTTAAATAAAAAATAAAAAATAAAAAATAAAAAAAATAAAAAAATAAAAAAAAATAAAAATAAATTTAAAAAAAAAAAAAAATAAATATTTTTTAATTTTTTTAATTTTTAAAATAATAAAACTGAAAACAAGTTTTTCTTTGTTGTTTTAATTATTTATTTTTGGATTTATGAAAATAGTATTTCTAATACTAAATTGGAGCCCACTGATTTTTAGAATAATACATTTTTATATAATCGTATAAAAAAAAAAAAAGAATTTCTAAATAAATATAATTTTTTTAATAATTAATTATAATATACACTTTATTTTTTAATATATTATTTGAAATATTGTTTTTAATATTACTATTTTTCACCAATATTTTCTTCTTCAAAATTATCTCTTTTCCTTTTATTACTAATTGCGTTATTTTGATCGTTTGGTTGCTGTTCTTGATTTTCTTTTTGTTTTATTTCATTTTCTTTTTGTTTGATTTCATTTTCTTTTTTTAATTTTTCTGAATCTCTAAATTTTTTATTAAATATATAATAGTAGTCAAAGTAACATGTTTTGATAGATAATTGATTTTGGAAACCATAGAATTGATTTTTAGAGTTTGAAAATGCCTTTTTAACCAATGAGTTGTCTGGTACTTGGGATTTTAATAGATTATTTGATTGATAACGTTCCAACATATATTTTGTGCAGTGAACCAAACCTTTTGAAAATAAGTTTTTGAATAATTCATTTATAGGTTTAGGGTTATTTGGTGGGAAAAACCTTTCGATTAGGTCACAAAAGAATTTTAGTGTTGATAAATCATAGATTGTGGTGGTTTTGTTATAAAGTAAATTGACAACAGATGTGGCGATTGGTATATTTGTTACTGTTTCGAATACCCATGACGCGACTTCAATATGATTGTTGGCTATGAGTGAGTGGACCAATTGAAAGATTTTGAAAGCATCAAAATTATAAATGGCATCAAAAAATATTTTGATTATTTCTAAATTTCCAACAGTTCCCAATGTACACAATAAATTGCCATCAATATAGTCTTTAATTTGATTGGTGACCCATAAACAAATAATTTCTTCTCGTAGTGCTTGGTAATTATTTGTTTTAATTGAATGATAAATAGGATTATTAATTGGAATTATAAAGTTTTTCATAGTTGGATATTCAATATTAAATTTTCTTAATTGTTCTTTGGTCTTTCGGGTTAATAAATAACTTGATGTCGGTATTTTAATTCTGGGACGTGATGTAGTTAGTGTTTTTGATGTTGGTTCTGTTGGTTCTGTTGTTTCTATTGGTTCTGTTGTTTCAGTTAATGTTGATGTTGATTTTTCTGTTGATATTGCTGCTAATGTTGATGTTGGTGTAGTTTTACCTGATAATTCATCATTATTAATAGTTCCATTCATTGATTCTTTTTGCTCCTGAGTTAATAGTAAATTATTATTCATTATAATTTCAATGATATTGTTTTGGTTATTTGATATGGCATGAATTAAAATATCATTCGATCTAAAATGTGATGGATAACGATTTGCTAAAAACTCGAATATATCTGACCTTCCATTTTCTATCGATGAGTTGATAAATAAACTTATGAGTGGTTGAATACTTGTAGTTTTTTGAGAATTCATAAGTTTAAGAAGGGTATTGAATGAAAAATTTGGCATCTTTATAATTTCATCAACTTCATTTGCTTTTAATTTAAAATTATTTTTTAAACAAAATTCTAAAAATTCTAAATTGTTCTCTTTAATTGCTAATAAAATCCAGGAGGTATTAAACGTCATAAGCTTTGTGGATAAATATTCTAACAATTTAAATTCTTTTCTTTTTTCTAATTCTTTTTGAATCGGTATTTTTTGTGAAAATTCTTTAACCTCGAGTAGTTTCTTTAAAAATTCTAATTTTTGCATTTTCAATTTATTAATTTCATTATTATTATTATTATTATTATTATTATTATTATTATTTATTTGGTTTTCTGTTGTTGGTTCAGTGATTTTGTTATCTTTATTTGTATCCATAGCAACTCTATCTTGATTATCTATATTATTTACATTATTATTATTATTTGATATTTCTTTTGATTTATCGTTTTCTAATAAATCAATTTTGGCGTCTATATCCTTAAATAAAAAATTTTCAACTTTAAATTTTTCACCTATAAATTGATTATAAGCTAAATAATACATTTGATTAAAACGATAGATTTTAATGAATAAATCTAAAGTTTTGATATCTGCATTTCTAAAAGAATTTTCAAAAAGGCTTTGAGCTTTTTCTAAATAGTTTACTGTTTGTTTAATATCTTTGAAACGAAGTTGCTCGATTTCATTAGCATCACCTTCAATAATTGAACGGTAGTAATGACTATTCTTTGGGTAGAATACAGTCGACTCGATTGGTAAAATCCATTCTTTATAAAGCATTTCCATTAGAGTTTCACGTTTTGGTAGTTTGGTTCTTGGTTTAATGTTGTCTTTGATGTCTTTATCATACTTTTTACAAATTTGGAATAATGGACCATTTGACAAATTCAATAAAGTTAATGTATGGGTACCACGTAATGGTTTCATTACATCTAGAGATAAGATTTTTTGCATAGAGTTGATATAGTTGATTATTTCTTTTGATGTTAATGTATGATCTTTCCATGGATTAAAACATTTTACTAAATCTTCGAGGAATAAAACTTTGGGTTTCTGGGTTTGTCTAATAAACTTTAATTGAAGATCATAGTCCAGTTTATAAAATATTGTCTTGCTTTTTATATTGTCTAAAATTAAGTGTGAGTCTGGTAAAATTACTTTTTTATTATCTTGACTTTCGAATATTAGAATATCTTCTTCACTTAAAACCTGTGGTGGTGATGATGGTATAGAATAGTCTTCAGTAATAATATTATTAATATTATTATTATTATTATTATTAGGTGATGTGGTTGGTATAGTAGTTGTCGTTGTAGTTGTTGTAGTAGTTGTTGTAGTTGTTGTTGTGGTTGGTTTATTAATTCCATTGGTATCTATATGATTTTTAATATTCTCTTCCTTTTCTTCCTCTTCTTTTTCTTTTAAAATTTGCAGTAATTTATCTTTTTTTAAAATATATTCTTTATTGTTTAAATATCGAATCATATTTGATATATTTGAAGATTGTTGAAGATAGTCAATAGTAAGAATAATATTAAGCTCATCATCGATACCAATTTTATGCAAATATTTGATTAAGTCAACGTTACCAGTTGCGATAGCTTTATATTGAATATCTGGTTGAAACTGTATTGGTGAATCTAAATTTTGAATGATTGAAATTACAGCTGTCAAATTATTTGCTTTAACAGCATCGTCTAAACAGTTTAATAGTGTTGATTTATATCTACTATAAAAAGAGTCCCAAAAACTTGAATCTTCTTTAATTTCTTCAAATAAACTTGGTATTAAAGCAAATGATTTCTCGTTGAATGAAATGGTATCACCAATTTTAACTCTATACTTTAACAATTCCCAGTACTTGTTTTTTATTAGCCATTCAAGGGAGTGAGTTTGATAATACTTCAGCATTATTTTGTTTTTATTACTTCTTTCTTTTACAAATTTCCATATATTATTTCTTATATCTTGATTATCCCATAGTTTTTTAAAAATTTCATCATTGAATTTAATGATTTCTTTTTCTTGTATCTCTTCCTCTTCCTCTTCTTCCTCTTCTTCTTCCTCTTCCTTTTCTTTTTCATCAACTTTTTCGATATCGATTTCCATAGATTCACTATTATTTTCATTTTTTGGTGATTCATGTTCTTTAATTTGCTCTTCTTTTTGGCTTTTATCCTTCATTTCTTCATCATTATTATTACTGTTTGTTGATATTTCGTCACCACCTCGGTTTTCTATCGCTGTATCTAAAGTGGTCATAGCTATATCACTATTTGTAGGATCCCCATTATTGTTATAATTGGTTTTATCATTAGAGGTATTATTACTATCTATTTCCATTGCATTAATAAATAATATATCTAAATTATAGTTGTGTTTATTTTTTTTTTCAAATAAAAAAAAAAAAGTAAACTAAAAAACTTTAACTATAAAGCGGGATTGAAAACTAGAATATCAATTAATTGGATGAAAAATAAATTAATGAAAATAAAAAAAAAAAAAAAAAATTAAAAAAAAAAAAAAAAAAAAAAAAAATAAAATTTAAAAAATTTAAAAAATAAAACAATTTTTTTTTTTGGAGCCCCAAACAAAACATTTTTATTACCCAATTTATTTATTTATTTATTTATTTATTTATTTAAAAAACAATTATACTAAATGATCAATTATGAATTGTTTTATATTTGGTCTTTTATTTTGATCTTGTATTAATATGGAAATTAACTTTAAATCTTCTTCAAAATGTTCTTTGATTTCAATTTGATGGTTTGGAGTTAATCGTAAATATCTAGTATTGGTGTTTATATGGTTGCTACTATTATTGGTATTGGTATTACTATTATTGTTGTTATTATTATTATTATTATTATTATTATTAATGATATCGTTATTTAATATTATTTTATTATTTATTATATCCAATTTACCATTTCTAATAATTTCTTTAAAAGCATTAAAATAGTCGTCATCATTTATTGTATTATCATAAATGGTTGATATTAATAATTCTAAATACATTATACCAATAGTGAAAGATACTGTGTTTTTACCCACTACTTTAAATAAATTTCTAGATTGATGTCTATCGCTGTATATTGAGTGAACCACTGAATCCTTACCCATAACAAATCTATCATTAATGTCACTGTAGAGTAGACAATGTTCAAAGTTTGAAAATTTGACTACTGATTGATCGTTGGTACCCAACGAATCTTCCATTATGTAGATATTTGAGGGTTGTAAAGTTTGATGTATAATTTGACGTTCTTCGAAAAAGAAGGCACTCGCTAGTATAGCACGTATTATAAATCGGGCCATTGTTAAAGACCCTTTGCATTTTCTCCTCCTTATTATCATATCTAATGTTTGATATTTTGACATATCCTCCATTTCCATAAATAATAATTCGTCTTTGTATTCCAATAGCCTCGGTCTCATCATCTTGCTCTTCCCCCTATAGGACCCATAGAACTGAATTGAATTATTAGAGTCTATTAGTTTTTCCAACACATTTAGTTCCTTTAGTGATTTTGTATTTTTCTTTTGTACTTTGACTATGATATTTCTCTTTTCAATTAAATCGCCTTCATGGTAGTATCTCTTTACTGAAAAATAATTTTTAAATGGATTGTCACTTATTAAATCTATATCTATATAGTTGTTTAAAATATTATAGTTTTCATTTTCTTCATTAATCTCTTCTTTGTATATATTATAGTTGAAATTTTCAAAATAATTAAATTTATTTGTATTTAAAAAAGGTTGATTTTTATTCATTGTATTATAATTATTATTATTACTATTATTATTATTATTTATTATATTATTTTTTCTATTTGAATTAAGGAGGGTATTAATATTGGTTTATATAGGGTATATGTTTGGTTATTATGAAATATAGTTACATTTTTATATTGCTACTGCCGGTATTACCACTGTTACCATTGCCACCTATACAGTTGTTTTTTATACATTGTAATAAATAATTATACCCTTTTATATTTATATTGTTTTCAAAATCATTTCTATCTATTGGGTTTGTATTTTCGTTATTGGTTTCATTATCATCATCGACACTGGTGTCTTGATTTATTCCCTCTATATTATTATTATAGTTTATGGATGTAGGTATAGTATTGATCTTTGTACTACTATTCCCAATATTATTTATTTTATTATCAATATTATTACTATTATTATTACTACAATTATTAATATTTTTATTTAAACCACCATTATTTATATTATTATTATTATTATTATTATTATTATTATCTATATTTAAGTATAAACCTATATTATTATTATTACTACTGCTACTTGTTACAACTGTTGTTAGACTAGAAATAACATTGTCCATTTTTTATTGTGAGTCTATAATTATTAATAATAATAGTATATAAAATTTAAATTATTGGGTTAAAATTTATAAATTTAGTATGATTTTTATTTAGTGTGGCTTTTTGTGGGTGTTTAGTATAGTATATTTAGTTTTTGTGTAAAAATTAAAATAATAAATGAAAAAAAATTAATTATTTATTTATTGATTTAAAAAATTATAAATAACAATAAAATAATAAAATAAAAAAAAATTAAAAATAAAAAAAAATAATAATAATAATAATAAAAATAATGAAAGGTTTTGATTTGAAATGAGTGGTATTGATAAATTTAATAAATAAATAAATAGAGAGTTTAAAATTGATTATATGAGTAACGAAAGGGTATTAACATAAAATATTTTATTTAAAATTTTATTATTTATTAATAACCAAATTTATTTTAATGATTTATTATGTTTTTGATTTTGATTTATTCAAATGGATTTATGAATATATAAATATATATTTTGAATTATTATTATATTATATATATATGTATATGAGTGCATAAGTAAGCACACCCACACAATAGTTTTTTTAAATTTAAATTTAAAAAAAAACAATTTATTAAACCTATCCCCTTAAGTTTAGATGATTTAATTGTTCATAATAATAATAATGATATTAGAGTTGTGGAAATAAATTTTGAATATAAATATATAATAAATAGTAATATTAATAATAATATAATAATAATAATATTATTATTATTTAATAAAAGATAAACTTATAATCATATTATTAGAGCTTGTATGGTTAAGTTGTGGGTATAAAGAGAATAAATTATATGTGTCGTGTTGGCCGCGGGGGTGTTTTGTCGTGGTTTTTTATTTAATTTTTTTAAAAAACAAAATAATAAATTTTTTTTTTTTTATTTTTTACCCTAGGTTTGGATAATTTAAACTGGGGAAATAACCGGAAATTTCAATAAACCATT